CTCCAATTGTTGCGAAAAGTGGTCGAAAAAGGCTGGAATATACTCGAGCCAGCCGCAGTGTCACTTGCCCGAAATCATTTCCAAAGCATAATGACAAACCCTTATCTTATTTTATATTTATAATAAAGCTTAATTCTTGGCGTAAACATTAATTTACTTGTGTTCCATTTCTCATTGAAAACCGTTTGTCTAAAAAAATCACCCTTTTTATATACAAATGTTCACATTCATATAAATAACATACTTTGAAAAGAAAAAAATGGAAGGATTTTGGAATTTTTGGCAAAATCAACAAATCACGATTCAGTTTAAATTTTAACTCTGAAGTGAATTAATCGCCTTTATTTCAGTAAGAAAGCTCAGTAAAGTGAACGGACTAATAAATGTGACCTGGCAATGGTATGTGTGTGTGTTAAAATTAAAATGTGAATTTTTGAACGTTTATAAATTTCAAAAATTTCTTAAAAACTCTGTATAAGTGTTTGGAAAAAGAAAAATACAAATATACATAAAAAAATACGACACAATAAAATCTATTTTGTTGATTTCTTCTTTTTTATTATTTTAATTGAGCCTTAAATTATTTAATGGCTCTAAAAATGTGCTCAAATGCAAGGAAAAAATCTCATAAAAATATTTAAAAATATTTTGTTGAAATTGCTAAAAATGTAAAATTACTTCATTACATGTCAGTGAGATAATTAATTATACGCCTTCAAAAGGGACTGCACAAAATACCTCAATTGTGCTGGAATGTAGAGTTTATGTACGTTTTTATGTTTCTTCGCAGTCCTACATTTGCATAATCCTCGCTCGTGCTGGCAAATGAAACTTGCATTTTGGTGTAATATTCAGCATTCAGCATTTCGTGTCGATTGGTAATAAAGCCGAACTTTCAAGGAACTCAGTGAAACATTTTTACAATGCATTCCTACAGAAAATTTCTACACACATACAGATATATATTTTTTTTATTTATAAAGTCTGCATTTGAAGGCCCTTCAAAAATGGTAGCTAAAAGGCCAGGTTATTTTATAAATTATGACGAAAGCCACGGAATGACATTCCACATTCTGGAAATTCGAGGCAGTTTAAACTTTTAAATTATTTCAAAATATCATTTGAACTCTCTGCAGTGATTTTTTTAATATATAACTTTAATTACTTCTAACGTCCTAGATCTAACTGCTCTTGAGCGACTTCGAATAAAAGTAATATGCAACACTCGGAGATGGTAAACTCGAAACCCTAATCGATCAAGCTGGAAAAGACTTTTAAACAACAAGGTGGCTGGAGCTGAAGGCTTATTGGCAGAGCTATGCAAAAATGGTTGTTAAAAGCTGACAACGGAATGCAGAATATATCAATATTAATAAAGAAATAAAGAAAATCCAAAGCCCACCGATTCATAAACGATTTTAAAGCTACCTTCGACAGCTCATAAAAGTCGTTTTTACGGCTGTAAAAACTGACGCTGGACAACTGATAGTTCTGCTTTCTCCAGACTTGATAAAGAAGCAAAGCTAATATGCCGATGATCTTACAGCCTGGCTCTCATTGTCATTGTTCGCAGTCATAACTTCGGGGTCATAGAAAGTTTCATCTTCCTAGGGACCAGTATTAATAACAACAGCAATGTCAGCCTGGAAATCCAACGCAGAATCACTCTTACCAACAGGTGCGAATTTGTCTGAGTAGATAGTAGGGTGGACGATTTCGATATCGGATGAGTCGGTCTCGGAGTCAAAGAGAGTAAAGTTTTTCGAAAAATTTATAGTCTCTTGAACATTGGCAAACAGCGAATACCAACATAATTCAGTGGATACGCTGGTTAAACTATGTCATTCGGATGAATGAAAACGCTAAAGCTGTGAAAGTAGTCGATTGTGAAAGCCGAGGTGGGAAGTTGCCTTTTTTCACTTGGTATTTCCATTTGTTGTTTCGGATATAATCACGTAAATGAAATATAGAGAAAGCTACCAAATGCGAACCAGAATGTATTTAGTCGGTGGGTTGGTGAGGTTGTGCGCTGGGTTTGGGACCGGCCACGTAGAATCCAGCTCCAATGAAAAAACACAACACCTCGAATGAGATACCCGTATTCTGTTGACGACCCCCGAAAACAAATTAAGGATCACGATTTGAGGACATGTAACATCCGGTCCCTTAATTGGAAAGGTGCGCCTACTAGGATGGGCAAAGAAGGTACGTCCCTTAATGGGTTGATGCTGATCGAGTTCGCCGGGGCCCGAAATATGGTTGTCTGTAGCACTAGATTTCACCACAAATATATACATCTAGCTACTTGGCTGTCCCCTGATCGAAGAACACAAAACCAGATCGATCATGTTGTGATAGGAGGAAGACATGTTTCCAGTGTTCTTGACGTGCGTACACTCCGGGAACCCAACATCGACTCGGATCACTATCATGTTACAGCGAAGATAAGCATGCATCTCTGTGTATCGAAAATAACACTAGGAAAGTACGAAGTCGAAAAACAGCAATCATAACAGACTACCGAACGATTTTCTACTCGACTTGAACTCCTACTCTCTGACAGCACTCATCAGCAACTCCGTATATGGGAACTGTGGGACGGTATTTCAAGCTCACTACGTACAGCTGCGAATGAAACTATTGGATTTCGTAAAGGTCGCAAGAACAGAGAGTACCTCGCAACGTTGCGATAGACCAAAACATGTGAGGGATATGATAGATACGGAGAGATGAAGAAGGAAGCAAGACGCATCTGCAGACAAAAAAAAAGAAAGAAGCCGAGATGCGTGAGTATCAAGAGCTTGAGAAGCCGGCCGAAAAGGGTAGTGCTCGAAAATTCTATGAGAAGATACGACGACTTACGGAAGGTTTCAAGACCGGGGGAGACTCTTGTAGGACACAAAGAGGTGAACTAGCCACTGATGCCCAGAGTATATTGAATTTATGGAGGAAACACTTCTTCAACCTGCTGAATAGCAGTGAAAATGGAGAATCCGGAGATGGTGAGCCCGAACCCCCAATCGAGGACGATAGAAAAGACGTTCTATTACCTGACCATGAAGAAGTTTGAATAGCAATCGCCCGCTTAAAAAACAACAAAGCGGCGGGAGCTGACGGCCTACCGGCGGAGAAGAGCTGGCAAAATGCATGCATCAGTTACTTTATAGAATATGGTCGGGGAAAAGCATGCCCGACCATTGGAATTTAAGTGTGTTTTGCCCAATTCATAAAAAAGGGGATCCACAGTCTGCACCAATTACCGTGGATAAGTATCCTTAATATCGCCTATAAGGTTCTGTCGAGCGTATTGTGTGAAAGACAAACTGATTGGACCTTATCAGTGTGGCTTCCGGCCTGGTAAGGCAACCATTTACCAGATATTCACCGTGCGCCAAATCTTGGAAAATACCCGAGAAGATAGGATCGACATCCACCACCTCTTCGTCGATTTAAAGCCGCCTCCGACAGCATGAATAACGTACTGCCTTTACGCCGCCATGTCTGAATTTGATAACCCCGCTAAACTTACTTGGCTACATAACTGAACTTGAGCAACACCAAAAGCTCCGTTTGTATCAGTAAGTACCTCTCCGAGCCGTTCGATACCAAACGAAGTTTCAGACAAGGCGACTCCTTATCGTGTGACTTCTTTAATTTGATGCTGGAGAAAACAATACGAGTTGCAGAGCTGAATAGAGAAGGTACAACCTTTTATAAGACGATATTGACATTATTGGCCTCAACAACCGCGCCGTTAGTTCTGCTTTCTCTAGGCTCGATAAAGCAGCGAAGCAAATGGGTCTGGTAGTTAACGGGGACAAGACGAAATATCTTCTGTCATCAAATAAACTGTCATCGCATTCCCTCGGCTCGGCTCTCAAGTCATTGTTGACAGTCATAACTTTGAAGTCTTAGATAACTTCTTATACTTAGCAACCAGTATTAACAGCAACAACAATGTCGGACTGGAAATCCAACGCAGAATTACTCTTGCCAACAGGTGCTACTTTGGACTGAGTAGGCAATTGAAAAGTAAAGTCCCAAGGAACGAAAATCAAACTTCCGTCCTGCTATGTGGTTCGAAGGCTTGGACGAGGACATCATCTGCTGAGTTTGCTTAGGTGTTTTCGAGAGAAAGGTTTTGCGTAAGATTTATGGTCCTTTGCGTATTGGCGACGGCGAATATCGCAGACGATGGAACGATGAGCTGTACGGCGACATTGATTTAGTCCAGCGAATCAAGAAGCAGCGGATACGCTGTCCTAGTCATGGGGTCCGTATAGATGCGAATACTCCAGCTTTGAAAGTTTTCGATGCAGTACCACCCGGTGGAAGCAGAGCAATAGGCAGACCTCCATTCCGTTGGAAAGACCAGATGGCTGTACTTGGTATTTACTCGGCTACAATCGCGTAGGCGGTGTCTACGCTGGTAAAGTAAGTAAGTAAGTAAAGGAAAAATAGTGAATCCAATATTTGAAATTCCGCTATAACCGCTTAAGCGGTGTCTACAAGAGTAATGTAAGTGATATTTGAAAGACCGCTTATTGTATATATACATATTTATAAACGAGTGCATTACTAATATTTACACAATAAAACTGTGACAACAAGCAACAGACAAAGTAAAACTTTTTACATGACCTTTATCAAAAAGCGACAAAATAATACTTCAACTCACACACACAAATACATATTATATATATTCATGTATTAGTGTATAAAGTTAATGGAAATCGCAAGCTTATATGCATTTAAATAAAAATTTACCTTCAGTTTTGAGCCTTTCCTTCTGTCACCGCCAGCGCCACCACCAGCAAGACGCTGTGGCTGATGTTGTTGCTGTTTATTTGGCATAATGTTTTTGTAAGTTACGTTTTCTTTTAAGCAGCCACTGAAGGTATGTAAATAATGTAAAAATATATTTGTGTGTCGCGGCAGTAAACGCTTTTATTCAAAAATCGCACCACACTACACACCTACACGCACACACACAAGCATGCACCAATGCGAATATTCACGCACACACACACACAAACTAAAAAACGTTTATATAAATACAGCGTAATTTTTGTTTTGCGACAAACAGATTGCACGTCGGTCGAATTTATTAAATTTTGAAAAGTTTACAATATTTTGAAAATGCCGTTAGTCAAAGAAAATATCCCTTTGACTTTTGCATATATTTTTCTGTTAATATTTTTTCACATTTTTCACATTTCTTTTACTGACTTTCACCTGCTCATTTCGTATTTACTTGTCGTTTGTTGTTTGTATTTTTATGTTCATTTTATATTTTCTTCAGTTATTTTCTTTTGCTATTTATTTGCCTTTCATCGTTAAGTCAATGAAGTTGCTATAGAAATTTATTGAAATTTGTTTTAGTTATCGATTAATCGAATTTTCTTGCTTAATCTGTTAGTGAATGAATGTGTAGCGTTGGTTGTGTTTTATACAAAGGAGAAATAGATTTACTTAGAAAAAAAAAGAAAGGTTCGTACTGAAAATTATCAATTTATTGATTCCCTAGAGACAGACATTTTTTACTTACACGCATAAAACATCATCACTCAGTTCGAGGAGTTGAACTGAAGGGAGTCCCATGATACAATAATTTAAAGGTAGCTTCATTCTCTCTTCTCAGTCGGCTTCATAACTGTATGCTACTCTCTTCCCTTTAAAAAAATTTACCATTTTTATTTAAAAATATGTGGTGAATTTTTTATATTTTTTAAACCTCATTTTCTTGCATTTTCCAACCCTTGATAGGGGAGTATGCCTTTCATGTAGGAAAGTTTCAGTAAGAAAAGAGACTTACTCGCCTACTAAAATTTAAATGATGAAGAGCTGACTAGATTTGCTACATCTACGCCTCACAGTTTTAGAGATGTTTCGAGAAAATTTTGTAAAAAAAACAGTATATGATTTTAAAAAGTTGAAGAGAGGTATGATCGCTAGAAATTTCCGTGAAATCGGTAACGGACCGCATTGAGAGCTGGTCAGTGGCAAAAAAAAGGACTTCTTTCCCAGACGTTTAGCATATAATGGAGAAAACTTATGAGTCCAAGTTTCGAAAAAAGGAGAAAATGTCAGCTCTTTCCTTAATTTTATTAAGTAAACTACGAGACCTTGTTGTTTGTATGAATTGAATATTTACACAACAAAGAATGAGAGGGAATGTAAAGCTGTCTGAGTGAATTTCTAAAATCAATTGGCAAACTAAATTACTGCAAGAATACCCCTGGCCAGCCAAAACAAAAGACGACAACCAAAAGTATTTCAAGAATGCATCAAAATATAGACCGAGGTATAGTAAGGAATCTTACGGCACTTCTTGAAACCAGAAACTTATTACTAGTGGTTGGTTTTCGGAAGCGACACCCTTGAAGGCTGGCCATGAACTGTTAGAAAGAAATTTTGAAAATTCTAATTCTACTATTTATAGACAGAGACTAAGTAGCATAGGGGTAGCACTTATGTGACTGTTGACAGTCACAGACAGTGGATAATTTCGTCTATCAAGAGAAAAACACTAACGTCAGCTTAGAAACCCTACAGAGAATTACTCTGACCCACAGTGTCTAGTTTGGGCTTAGTAGGTATTTGAAAAAACATTTATATGCAGTTGTAAAGTAGAGTCGATTATGGAAGAACAAACAAAAACCAAACTCCACAAGTCCCCTATTATACCCGTCCTACTTTATGGCACGGAAACATGAACGATAACGACGTCCGATGAGACCGGATTTGGCGTTTCTGAGGAAAACCTTTTGCTTAGGATTTATGGAGCCTTTCAACGGCGAATACCACAGTTGATGGAACAAGGAGATTTACGCTATATATATATATATGTATATATATTAGATGCGGAACGGATTTCCAGACGTGCTCCTCCTCCAATATAAAATGGAGAAATCTACAGTTTATTCTAAGTTGCCTCCGAACGGCCGATGGTTTTCTACAAAGAGCTTTGATTTTCATGTCAGAAATTCACTCGGAGGGGTTGACATTCACTGCCGAGGGGCGACTGCAATTAGAAAAATTGTTTTCACAATAGGTCTACATTGAACACCCCCTCTTACTTCTTTACCGATTATTTGTAGCTGGGCAAGATTTCCACACAAAGTGGAAATGAGTGAAAACATGACAGGAAGCAATTATAGACTGTTAGGGAGCCCTGGTAAATATTACTTGGTTTCTGAATGTTTAAGAAAATGAACGAGTTGACTTGTGCTAGGGCCGCGAACGAGGTTGTCACCATCGTCACATAGAGTGCCTTCAAACATTTTCTAGAACAGTGGAACATAGAGGAAAACATAAGATATTAAAGGCAATTGAAGACAGATCATAAGTGCTGCACCCAGCTAAAAGGAACTTAGTACTTTTGTAGGCGTAGTGATGGGGCATCAATTCCCAAAATATCATCCCCACTCGATCAGATAGAATCGTCTGAGTGCTGTGCTTACACAAGGGAGCACGAAGAACTGCCGCATTAGCTTTGAGGGCATTCAGTCTTCAGCCAGTTGAGACGCCAAATCTTCTTAAACAAACCGCCAAGCTATCACCACCATAAAGTTCGACTGCATAAAAAGGTATAATTGAAGTACGCCGGAGTGCATAACCCTAATAAATGGCTTAAAAGCCGCCGTTTGCAATCAGGTTTTCATTCTCCTTAGAAATTCATTTTCCCAAAGAATGTCACCTTCTGAAACCTTCTATCTTGACGTACGTCTCATCTATGTTATTGTGACTAATACTTTACAGTCTATACTACACTACACGTGCTACGGTTTAGCCCTATTTTAGAGATAGTCGTGGTCGAGCTACGGTTCCATTGTATTCCGTAGTCGCCTACAGCATAAATAATTTGTATTCTTAACTAATAGATTCCACACATTCCATTAGCAAAAGATTTGTTATAATAAAAAAAAATAACTCACCATAGCTAAGTTGACTTAAACGTAGCTTTTGGGACTCGTTAAAAAAGTAATATCTTTCCCCAGGACCCGGTAGATACACATGTTCGATGAATTCCTGTTCCGTAAAATTGTTTGGGTCAAAATGGAATGGAGTATTCTTTAAAATCTCACTACTTGTCAATGAAGGCAAAGACATCCTGTGTGGTTTCATCTCTGATTTTGCGATTATCTCATAAAGAGATGAGACACTGCCTTGTGTGGGCGATGATGGTGGTTCACCAACTGGCTCTGCAGAAATCGGTCTGAATTCTGGCGGACGATTCTTCAAACATTCAGCGCGTTTTTCTACGGCTTCGATTGCGCGCAGTAAAATTGGATTTCTAAAAATCGCAAGTGAAATGAGAATGAATAATTCAAGCAAACCCAACGTTAGCCACTTCAAATATTTTTTACGCACTTTATACGTTTTACAAATTCGTCAATCTCATCCATAGTTTTTGACAAGTCATTCAGATAAGGATTCTCGGATATATATTTATTACGTTTCAATATTATTTCGATATCCAATTCCAAATCGGCATCCAATCGGCAGTCACGCACGTCGAATTTCAATATAGTCGTATTGCTTTGTAAGGTTTGGAGTATTTCAATGGCCGCCTGCTCGCTAATTGGCACAGCGCGCATATCCAGAGAACGGAGCCGCGGGTGATTTAGAAATTCATTAGCTATGCAACATCTAATCGCCGTTTCGGTGATTTGGGAAGTACTCAGACTCAAGTTTGTAATGTGTTGTGTATCAACAACTTTTGTGCTAAGCTCATGCAGACCGCAATCACCCAGGGGATTGCCGCCCAAGCCGAGATATTCTAATTGGCCACCAAACTGGCTAATGCCGATGGCTAAAAAGTGGAGTGCATGCGCACCAATTAGGTTATGTTCCAGTTCAAGTGATTTTATGGAGTTAGTTTGACGAAACAGCTCAAGCAAGCCCAAACCGCAATCGTCATCTAAGTGATCGTAACCAAAATCAATTGTCTCTATGCACACTAATGATTTCAGCGCTTTTGCCAGTGTGTACAGTTTTCTGGCATCCATTTGGCTGGAGCGTAGACGGAAAATCTTCAATTTCTGCAGAAACGATACGCCGCTATTACGGTAAATATGTTGGTATAAATGTTAGAATCTACTAAAAGAGTTAAGAGAGGTAATCAAGCGGAAAACTCACTAAGCCAAACCCTCTACATCCGCTTGGGAGAACTTCAGATGTCTTTCATGAAAATCCCGTTGCATATCCGGACCGCGAAACTCTATAGTGAAATTGACCAAGTTTTCGAAGAAGCGCAAAAAACGTAAGCTCACATGATGACATAATCTCGTAGGATAATGCAATTTTTTTCGAACTGTAAGTTGCCGTTTCAAATTTCGTCGATCCACAATTAATTCTTCACCATCATCTTCGGCCGGCTCCACTATCATATCGAATACACCCTTTGGTCTGAACTTTTTCTTCTTTTTCCCCGTTGCTGGCTGCTCAATCGGCGGTGGAGTTGTTACTTTTATCGATTCACGATACGGTCGTCTTTTTAAACGCTCTTCGCGTCGTTTCTGTTGTGCCTCTCTTAAAGCACGTGTACGCTCCTTACGCTCTTTTGTAATTTCTTCATGTATACGTTCCAATTCCAGCTGTTCTTCTGTTTCAAATATCTCTGGCACTTCTTCTACAACATTCATAGCTGTTAGCCGTGTTACATGCTTTATTGTGCCACGCTGTGACTTCCTTCTGTCCGCCCCCTCCTCCTCCTCTTCCTCCTGCTCCTCCTCGAGCCCCATGTCTGTAATGATCTCTGTAGAGCGTGGCGTCGCTGTCATTGATTCAACATCAGTCGAATCACTTTCAGATTCCTCCGAATCATCTAAATGTAGTCGTTCTCGAAAAAAGCGCTCCGAAATCGATTGCAATTTACGTATATGCATTTCATTAATATTCTCCTTTATTTTCAGTGCGATTGGCTCCATTTCATCGATGGGCCAATATTCGGCGGGACATGCTTCCACCAGTTCCACGAATTTCATGGATAAACCGAGACTACGCCAATTGTAATCTTTTTTGAATGCCAATGTGACATCCTTATTTTTAGCCAACACATAACGGCGCCAATATTTCTCATCGGTAATGTCATAACACTGCTCCAACGGTAGATCTATACTCAGAGAATCATAGTATAAACGTATTTTCAGGGGATCTTCAGCGAGTAACGGTAATCGTTTTGGCGTATAGGCTAACGTGAGCGCACGTGTACACAAGTCTCTCAGTGGACCCAATTTGGTGTTCTCAATAAAATGTTCAGCGTACAATGTGCGCTCCTGTTCGGACTTCAAAGCACGAGTCTCTAACGCCGGCCGATAAACGTCGTATGCTATCAGAATATCATGCTCTTGTGGTATGCCCAGAGTATTCATGCGTATGGGATTAAAATAATCCACTTTAACTTCTTCCTTAAACTCCTCCATTTTCGTTTAGTGGTTTTTATAAAAAATATATATTTGTATATTAATAAATAATAATAGTTTTCTTTCGTTAAATGTATATGTATGTATGTATTTTCAATTATTTTTATAACAGTTTTGGCGTAAAACTTCCAAAAATTACAGATGTAAAGTCGACAGTAAAATAAAATGTCAAATAAATGCCAATAAAATTGAGACTAAAAGTGATTGACATTTTAGGTTCCTTCAACAGGTTGCTCGATCATGGAACGCTAATTAATATGCTTGACCTGTTAAGGTGATTTCGTTACTCAAACGACTTGGTGTATCTTATGAAGTTCGGAGATTAATGACGTCTACTGGATTCAAGCTCTGCTAGGCAAAGAAATATCCGAGAAAACGGACCACACAGAGAGTTGAGCAGGGGCAGAGGTAATATTCCTATGATACGTCCTCATCCACGCAGCAATTGGAGTTGTCCCCTCCATTTTAGGGAAGATTTTACGGAAAGAGCTTGGTTTGTGAACTTACAAAATCCAACTACTGAAGCCGAACGACTAATATTTGAATGGGCTAAAACAAGATGGCCAACAGCCTCAGGATTTCTTAAGAAAATTGTATTCAGCGATAGAGCTCACTTACTTGTTGAATGAATTCATTAATATATAAAATTATCGCATTTGAAGCGATGATAATCCACAAGTGACTTTGTGTGTTGTGTTCTCTTGGCAAAGGGAATAATTGATCCATATTCATTCAGAAAATGGAGACAGTCATAATGGTACAATCTATGGAGAAGACTATAGAGCGGTGTTTAACGACTTCTTCGTACCAGAATTGAAGGAAATCGAAGTGAACGACCTTTGGTTCCAACAAGACGGCAGTTCCTACCATTTAGACTACAAAGCAGATAATTTATTCAAGGAAACTTTTGGCAAGCGCATAATCTCACTTTGTGGGCCTTCGAGGGGTCTTCCAAGAACGTGCGATTTAAAACCGATCTACTATTTTTTTAGGATTCAAAGCAAGTCATTTATCTAAGTAGATAAGCCCAAAACGATTGACGTCTGAAAAAAGAATATTGGGCACCTTAATGCGCCTCTTGTGGCCCTAATTGCTGCGAAAAGCTATAGAAATTAGTCATAACATTAAATAATATGCGTTTTATATCTTCTTAAAAAAAAAAACAAATTACTATCACTTCTTCTAAACTACTACGAATATGGGGATCCCGAAAATTTACTGATCTTACCGCTTTTATACTTTTCGGACAATGCTTCGTCGTGTCTGTCATTAAGCACGAAAAATTTGGACTTGAGATGGACCTGAGCACGATGCTGACCAGAAATAGACTGCAAGGCTTTGTCCAAAGCAATGGTGTCCATACGTACCAGCTAATTAATTTTGCAGTTCCCATTCCCCTATATAATCCTGTTCTTAAGGTGTTAAGAGCCAGGATTGGAGTAGCGCGCAACTTACCACAAGTTCTGATGTCACCCACGCATTGATTTTTGTAGTGACTTCCACCCTAAGAAAACTACGCCAAGAAACATGGGTCTAACTTCGAGTAGGTAGATCCAGTACCTTATTTTAAGAGAAGGACTTCAGTTCTTGCCGATTGCTGCTTTCATCTTTCCCTCCTCGGTGTTTGCTTTCCAGAAAAATTCCTTATCTGGGATTGCCTTCGAAGGTATAGAAAAATTCTGCTAAGAAGCACTAGCTTTTAGATAATAATAATATGGTTGTTGTTGCATTAGTTATATTACACCGCTTCGGGGCAAGTAATGCTTATCGATGCAGTCGAGATTGTTTGACGACAGTTCCATAAAACGAGCTGTTTCGGTATTTTTGGAACAAAATAAAAGTGGTTAGATGAATAGACTTTCGGAGGCACGCAAAAACGAGATTAGTTTCGTGCAACGACAGAAGGCAGAACATAAGTTGAGTATGTCAAAGTAGAGTTTAGATAAGTAACAGTTGAGTCAACTGTAGTACCCAGATTACACCAGTAGTATTTGGGTCTCCCTACACAACTCGTTGTCTTCGCCTGCTATGACGTGACGTTTGGAATACGGGAATGCAATTTACTAAAAGAGCGTTAATGAAGTTGTTGGATATCTCTCTGTGAGTAGTCGGAAACACTTCACGTCCAGCGGTCCAACCTTTTGTGCGCTTGTGGCTGTTCTACTTGGATATTGCTGTCATCCAACACATACTGCTGGTATAGCATAACGTTATACTTCTCTACTGGGAGCATAGATATCTCGAAATGTATGTGAAGGTGTTCTGAAAAGATTGCAAATTTTTCATCTGTGTCACACTCGTACCGAGTAACCAAAACGTTGTAGTGTAATTTATGATCGGCTCGGTTGATATCCTTGCGCGTTTTCGACATGGTTTTTTGTCTTTTTCCCAGGTGCTGCCGCCGAAGTGAAGGAGTACAGTCTGTCGTATGTCACTTCTAGTGCTTATTAACTGTCGTACATCTAAGTCAAGTTGTTACTACTTCGTCTAACTTGTGAAGAGTCACTGCAGATTTCACGAGTGATAGTTGCAAAAGTCGTGCAGTGGAGTGGAGACCTCGACACTGCTAATGGAATCAAATTAAAAAGGATCTGATTTCTGTTAATAGTTTCTACATCAACCGAGAAGAAAAGGTTTCATTTTACAATCTAAGCAGAAAAACTGCCAGAGAGCGGAATTTTTCACCTTTTTACGGGCTAATTCAAATATATTACATCTTAACTATGTATGTATATGAAAACCTAATTTTCACAAATTTTTCAAAATTAACGCTGACGTCGGCGAAATCTCTCGTTCACAGCACGGGAATTATTTAAAAAATATTTTATTTTGATTTTTAATTTAGAATAATTGCTTATTTGTGCGCTTACAAATTAGTAATTTGGAAATACTCGCTTGGGTTTATCAAAATACCAAAAACGCGCTAAAACTTCGTTTTTGCTAAATGCGTTCGCATCTTCAAAATATGGCTTATTAAAGTAACTTCTTCGATATTCTTTACTGAAGTGTTGTTCACTACTCTCTACTTCCTCTTCTTCTCCATCTTCTGCTTCTACACCAACTACAACTTCTTCCTCTTCTATGTCCTCCACACCTTCATTTGTTAAATCTGTCAGCTTTAGTTGGGAATTTTGCTTTGTGTTTATGCCGCTTTTCCTACTGAAATGTTGAAATTCAACTGGTCGCTGACTCAAGCATTCATTTCTCTTATCCCCCTCATCAATGGCGCGTAATAGAATTTTGTTTCTAAAAATTTTCCAAAAGAAAAATATATATGTGTGGTATGAATGTAAGAAAACTCTGGACACTTACTTTGTTTTCATAATAGATGCATCAATATCTTCAACGGACTTCCTTCTATCGCCAATCGATGGATAATTAAAGAGAAACTTATTACGTTTCAGCAGAATTTCAAAATCAATCTCCATTTCAACAGGTATATCACAACCGCATATATCAAATTTACGTATTTTATAATTGTCCTTCAGCGCCTTGAGTAACTCAGCAGCCACATTAGCATCGATTGGTACACCGGATAAATCTAAGCCACGCAAAACTTTATGATTTGGTATTAATTGCCAAGCAATGCATTTCCTTATGCCATCTTGCGTCAACAATGCACCACGCAAACATAACTCCCGCACCTGTGAGGTATTATTGATGTGCATGCATAGAAGCTTTATGGTCTCTTCATTAAGTCTGTTACGCGCCAAACTTAAGTACTGACAACAACCGTCGTAGCCGCCCAGCGCTCTGGCCAATTCACAAATTGCATCAGTGCCAAGTTCATTACCAGTTAAATCGAGTGATTTGATTGAATAGGTTTTTTGAAATAATTCATAAAGACCTTCTCCGCAATCATCCTTCAAACTGTCATAGCTGAAATCAACACTTTGCAGCGCATAAATATTCTTGAGACTTCTCGTGAGCATATAGAGTTTCTTGGCATTTAAACGACTATTGCGTAGCGCAAAGACAGTGAGTCGACTAAGATATCGGAGGCCTCTGTTGGTGGATGATGAAGGCGAGAAGGTGATTAATTGCAGTTCAAACTCAGACTCTATCTTTTCAAGTACTGATTTGTTATATTTTGTAGTCGAAGATTCTATTTCTAAAGGTCAACTCTAGTCAACTCTGAAGTTTTGTCAGTTTTTGTCTGAAAGTCAATTTCAACCACCTAATGCTACTGATTTTATGTCAAAGACATGCCGTTCCTTTCTCTTTCTTTAGTAAAGACAGACAAAGACTCGACTTTTTCTAAAAACAATAACATATCTTTGAGACTATATATTCAGTGCTACTCTATGAAGGTTGATCATAAACACCCCACTGTACTGTAATTTGGCGTAATCTGGGATTATGAAATAAAATGGAATAAAAACTATAAAACCTTTAGCTTTGGTGTTTTTTTTCTGTATACCACTTCTGATGCACTCTGCAAATCCCAACACAAAATATTCTGATGCCGCAAGAAAAGACACATTTCGAACGAAGAAAACAGTCCACTCACCCTAACTCAATAACAATGTCAGCCGTGAAATTCAAAGCAGAATCACTATAGCCAACAGTCATCACTTTAGATTAAAGAAATTGAACAGTAATCCTTTCCCGACGAACGAAACCAAAACTTAACAAGACATACCCGTCCAGTGAGTATTTTCGAGAATATTTCGTGCGAATGACTTATGGACCGTTTCGCTCTAACGATAGCGAATACGGCAGAAGGAACGATGAGCTGTGTAAGATTTTATATATTATATGGAGTTTATTTGGAGCCTTCGAACTGCTAATTAATTTTTATGAGGTGCTTTTATTTTATGTTGCTTGGGAATGACACTCAAAAGCCAAGGCGCGCCTGCAAATAGACACAATATATATATTTTTTTTTCAATTTAAAATGACAGTGACTATGATCGTTAGGACTCTAGCTTTACAAGTTTTCGGCGTAGTTGCTTGCTGATTGAATTGAATGAACAGGAAGATGGTTCAAAAGGTCTGGACGATGTTTTTCCAACAAATGAAGGGACCTAAGCCGCCTCGTAACGGCTGAAGCTTTTTATGAGGAGCCTTTATTTCATGTCGGAAATAAACTTGGAGGGGTTGATATTCTCTGCAGAAATTAGAAACTATAACTTTATGATGTTGGTCGAGCCAGAACTCGATCTCTGACCTTCCGAATGGCAGTACGCCATGCTAACCACTGGGCTACTGCGGCCGCTTCGTATTCAATAGTGAATATATAGAGCGACTGAGTTGATGCGGTTCCTAATCGAAGCGACCAGCCCACTCAGACCAGAAGGCTCATAAAATGATACTACCTCTACTAGCCGTTGCTGCCATACTCCTTACTCCGCCCTAACCGTATAAGGGGTGCCTCAAGAAGAAGAAAGGATTATAAAAAATATAGACTCGCTTAACAAGATCAGCTCTTAAGGATGACTTTAGTCTAATCTTGACATGATGTATTGAATTTGAAACCCGTAAATAGTTAAAAGAAGCACTTCAACCTGTAGTCCGTCCAAGAGGTTATTGGCTTTTACTTTTAAGCATCCTTCTTTTAGGATTCAGAAGATTCGTCTTGCTCCTACCTTTCGCAATCTAACATAAAGGTTTTCATATAATATGTGCAACAGGTAAACTCACTCCGCCAGTTGTTGAATGTCGCGCGTACTGACATTGAAATGCCAATCCTCATATTTTGTTGGTGGCGCTGGTCCATTAAATTCAATTATTAAATTTGTTAGATATGGAAAGTATTCCAAGAAACGTAAGTCTAGATGATGACAAAAATCAACGAATGCTGGATCTTTCATAGCTTCATATATGCGCTTCAATTTCTCTGGATTTCTTGCATCAGATACATCGTCGAAGAGATTCTCTTCAGGTGGTTCAACTTCCATATCGAATACACTAATCATTTCGTCTTCATCCGCTTTCCGATTTTTCGCCCTCCTTGCTGCTCTTCTCCGTGCTAAACTATCTTTGACTGCCTTTTCTGCAGCGGCTCTCTCAGCCAGTTCACGCTCCATTTCCGCTTGTTCTTCCTTAATTCGCTTACGCTCCTTACACTCGTCACGTATGCGACGTCTAGCACGTTGTGCTTCCCTTTTCTCTCTTCTTATTTCCTTCTCATCAACATCGCTGATTTCATCAAGCCAAGTTTCATTGAATGACCGAAATTTATAACTCCAAATTGAGTACATACTCAGTTTACTTGACCCGTCTTCGAAAACTGGTTGTTTGGCTGTTTTAACTGTTCCGGGATGTGTAGATTTTTTAGAGCCTCCACCTTTACTCCAGGAGATTGCGGTGCTAACACTGCTCTTGCCATCATTGGATTCTTCTTCCTCTCCCTCGTACTCACTCGGTGTAGTACTTGAAGGAATTGTGGTTGTATCTGATGAGGTGGTAGAGCACAAATCATCTCGCATAAAATGATTAAGTAGAAATCTTTCATCTAACGCACGCAAATGTTCAATATGTAAATCTGTAATGTAATATTTAATTTTTTCTGCTAATGGCCGCAGCTCTACGGGATCCCAATACTCCGGTTTTATTTGCTGCAGTATACTTTCCAATTTCATCTTAATACCCATATTTTTCCATTTGATTTTCTGAACTTGCATACTTGGATCTTTATGGCGGGACACAACAAAGCGTTTCCAATACTTCTCATCATCAATATCACAACATTTCTCCAACGGTAAATCGATATCCATTGCATCGTAGTAAGCCCTCATTACTAGCGCATCATTCTTAACCAAATCGACTAGTTCGTTGGGTGCATAAATCTTAGCCAATGCTTTCGCGCAGATATACGACAATGGCGCAGAACCCAGTGGATTTATAATGGCATCCGCATATAATCTTTTATCGGCTTCACTTGCTAACTTTCTTGTCTCTAGCGATGTTTTGTAAACCTCATAGGCATTCACCAATTCCTTATCCTCGGGTTGAACCCCTACCGAGCTCTGTTGCATACATCTCAGGTATGTTTCGGAAAATTCCGTAGATATGACCTTTTTATTGGCTAAGCCTTGAATCCCACTGCTCAGCTGTTTGCTTTCGGCGGCTGCTTCATCAAAGTGTGCGTGCTGCTGCATTTAGCTGCTGTCGATTGGAGAGTAGAGCCAAAATAATTATTCGAAATAATCGTTTATCGCGGAATTTCGTTGTATAAATCGCTACTAGTACGTGTTAAAAAAAATAGAAATAATTATAAAAATATAAAATGCAAAAAAAAAAAAACACTGAAAAAAATATTCCGTATAAGAATGTGTTAATTTTTTGAATATTCTAATTTTTACTACGACATGACAATTGAGAAGATGGAATAGTATGATGGGAAAAACAAAATATTTGCTTCCAATTTGTATGTCGATAGTGGGTGCAGGAACTAGTGAGATTGTAGGGCGCTGGGAACGTTTCTTAAGCTCTCAAAATATGCCGTGCACACTTCATTAGAGATTTAAATAGAGGCCATCGCAGTATGGATGAGGTGGTCTTAGTTTTCATATTGATTGGCGGATATTCCAAAATTTTCTTGTATCATTTTATTGACGAATTCAAAGTTTATTCCATTGACCCCATACTCATGCTAAAAACGCAATAACAAAAAGAGTATGAAAAATAACGTAACATATGTCTAAATTTACCAGACAGGCATCACCTACATTTCATAGTATTCACTCAAGTGGGAGGTGAATAAACTTTCAAACATTGCTGCATTAAGGCGTGCATGCAAATAAAAGGTTTATTATATATATGTATATATATATATATACTCCCAATATGCGCACAATGAGCTTTACAAGAGCTTTTTTCAAAAATTTATAAATATCTGTTGTTAAGTAATAATTCGCCTCAGAAGAATGTATGCTGAATAATATTTAAATAAAATGAAATAAAATAAATTAAGTTAAAAGCAGATTGATATAATCTTACTTATAAAAAATTAAATTAATATATATTGAAATCAAACTAAAGGAAGAAAAGAAAAACATTAATGAAATAAAATAAACTTAAAGTGGAATAAACAAAAATCAGTTAAATAAAATCAAAATAAATGATATAAAATTAAACTAAATTAAATTAAATAAGATAAATTAATTATAATTTTTTTAAAAATAATGATAATAAAATAAAACCATATATTTAAAATAAAACAGGGTAAAATAAATAAATAAATAAGTATAAATAAAAACGAAATTAATTAAAAGGAAGTAAATGAATTAAAATAAAATAAAATATTATAAATTCAATAAATATAAAACAAATCAAAAAAATAAATATAATAAAATGCCACAAAAACAAAGTAAAAAAATTAAATATAATCAAATTAAATAAAAATTTAAAAATAATAAATAAAATAAACTCAAACAAAATTAAATTCAATAAAACAAAAAAAATATAAGATTGAATAAAATTAAACGAAATTAAATAAATAAAAATAATAAAGTAATGAAGTTATACAAAATAAAAAATATAAAAAAGAATACCTAAGAAAAATTAAAAAAAAAATGATAAAAATAAAATAAAATAAGACATAATCAAATAATATAAAATAAGCTAAACAAAATAAAAACAATTCAATTGAAATTAAAATAAAATTCATATTAATGGAATAAAATAAACTAGATTATATTATAAAAAATTAAGTAAATAATATGATGTAAAATAAAATTAAATTGAAAGAAATAAAGCAAAATCAAAAAACATAAAAGAAAATAAACAAAAAAATTGAATAAAATTTAATTTAAGTTAATAAAATAAATTAAAAAAAATACATTAAATTGAACAGATAAATTTATAAAAAATTAATTTTTTAAAATAAATAAAATAAAAGAAAAATAAAATATAACTAAATTAAAAAAACAAAAAATTAAGTAAACTTAAAAAAAATTAAATTCTATAAAAAAAATAATATAAGATTGAATAAAATAAAACGAAATTAAATAAATAAATATAATAAAATAATGAAGTAATTCAAAATAAAACAAGAATACCTAAAGAAATAAAACAAAATAAAAAATGAAAAATTAAATAAAAAAAAAACAATTTATTTAAAAATAAAATAAAATTCAGATTAATGGAATAAAATGAATTAAATTATAAAAAAAAAATAAGTAAATAATATGATGTAAAATAAAATTAAATTGAAAGAAATAAAGCAAAATAAAAAAACATAAAAGAAATTAAACAAATAAATTAAATTAAAAACAAAATAATTTTTGATTGAAGTTAATAAAATAAATTGAAAAATAAAAATAAATAAAATAAAATAGATAATTGAAATAAAACTAAATTTAATTGAGTAAAACAACATATAGAAAAATAAAATTATATTGAATAAGATAACATAAAAATATATTGATATAAACATATATTGTATGTGCATATATATACAAAATTAATTTTTAAAAGCAAATAAAATAAAAGGAGAAAAAATAAAATAAGGTAAATAATATTAAATTTTACAAAAATAAAATTAAAAATATATAAATTTAATTGAACATAATAATAAAATAAAATTTTATTTAATTAAATTTTATAAATGTAAATAAAACGAAATAAAATTAAATGAACGAAATAAAGTAAAAGAAAATAAAAAATAAATAGAGTATAAAAAGATAATAATAAATTTAATTAAATTGAATTTATTAAAATAGAATAAAACAGCGCTATATATTTTTCTAAATATAAAATTTAAATAAAATAACCCAAATTAATTAAGTTGAAATAAAATAAAATATTTAAAAAAAATCAGCATAAGAAATAAACTAAAAGTAAACCAGAAATTTCACAGAAAATTTTATATTGGATGAGTGCATAAGTTCGTGCCCGATTCCGCTGAATGCCGTTCGAATCGTTTGAGAGTGGCGCTCGTGAAAGATATATATACATATTATATATCGTTGGAAAGGTGACAGTCCGAACTGTAAATCAAGCATAAAATAACTTCATTTTGATAAAAAAAAAAAATAAAAAAATAAAAGCGTCATATTAAGCGACCGCTCTAAAGCTCATTGCAAATATTGCATCAGTAGCCGTTCATTCGCCTATGAAGATAAGTGACTTCACCCACTCAAGTGTATGCGAGGTGAATAAACCTTATAATGCGTTGAAGAAATACAACAATATATACTACATATGTATATATTTAAATTTAAACAAACGCTCATTTAAAAACAAACACATATTTATTTTCTTTTTCAATATTGTTTTTTGCTTATAGACATTTTTATTAAACTTAATTTAGTTAAAAATATAAAAATACATATATCTATTGCTTACAGTTAAGTAGTTGCAAAATTTAACATAGAAACCGATGTAATAGTAAGTATGCTACGAAAATAAAGTACTCATATACATATATAAATTTCTTTTGTGTTATTATATTAATATGTACGAAGGCGTTTTATATATCTAACAGGTAATTCAGGTAAATAAATGCATAAGAAGAATAAAATGGGACCAAATAAAAGTGCTAAAACTAACCAACAAATAATAGTTACAAAAGTCAATGGATCCATCTGTATGGCGAAATGAATTTTGTTGTAAAGAAAAAAAATTAAATTTTTGTTTCTATTGTATATATGAGTATAGTATTTGCACAATACACGCCTACTATTACTGCTGGACTTCCCTGTTAAAATTGATTTTGTAAATATTTGTAAGCAATTTTTGGTTTAAAACTAATATCACTAGCATATGCAATTTTATGCAATTTAAAAGCTACATATGTATATGTAAAATAAATGATTTATGTATTTTATTTTATTTTTTTTTTTTGCTTTTGTGTGTACCATAGATATTGCGTAAATTGCAGGTAACTTTAGATGTAAAGTTTCAATGACTGATTTTTGGATTTATGAACGCCACCTAGAAGGAGAAAAAATTAAAAAATTATTATTAGATATCGAAAAATGAAAAATAATAATAATAATAATAATAATAATAACAACAACAACAATAATAATAATAATAATAATAATAATAATAATAATAATAATAATAATAATAATAATATAATATTATTATATGGAATTTAAATAAAAAAGCATTTATTTACTAATTTTTATTATTTGATTTGAATTGAGAAAGTCCACTGATATTTAAAAAGCACCGTCTATCCGTTTAAATAATTAAAATTCGTTCATGTGGTAGGAACACTGCCGTGCTTATTCAACAAACGCAAATGACTAGCATACGCTTTGCCTTTTCGAATTTATACACACCGAATACCGAGACGCCAATGTACGGACTTGCATGCTTGCACACACTTGCTGTTACGTACATATCAAGTTTATCACTTTTTTTGCATGCACATATGTATGTATGCAAAAAGAGGCTTGAGTAATTTTTGCAATCTTTTTTTTTCTTTGAACTCTGTATTTCTGTAAATTCTTAATTTTACTTATGCGTTGAATGTCCCAAACGATGACAAAAAGAAAACAAAAAAAAAAAAAGAATTAAACAGGAAACCCACAGACAATCTGCATTTATAATTTGCACTTACAGCGGATCACTTATGGTACTCACTTTATAAAAATATATGCTTACAAGAATACATATATGCATATGTATCTCTTGCTTACGTTAATTTATTATGAAGCTTATATACTTTTCAAGCCAATAAACCGAATTAAACTAACCAACTTATCGTGCAAATTACGATTTATAAATAAACGTATAGAAATGTCCAAATAACATTTTTACACATTTATATATGTATGTGTATGTATATACAGTTATTTTTTTTTATAGAAGTCTTGAACAAAATGAGTTAGTTATGTGTATATATGTATATGTATATTTTTAAGATCTTACTATATTTGTAAGGTGATTAAAAAAAAGTCCTACTAAACCAACCGCCATATCAGTGGACAACGATAAAATCACAATCCGTGATCGTTTAGCCGTCACCTTAGCGTCTGTAGCGCCATAGTCGGTCTAGTTGGCTTTGAAGTTGATGGAAATTTTTTTTTAAGAATTTTAGAATTAATCAAAGTGTAAAATACCTAATGAAAAATGTGCTAAAAACAATGCTAAGAAATTGACAATTCCGTGTGAATTAACTTCGGCAAATAACAAAGGTTGAAAAAAATTTGTTTAAATTTTTTAACAGGGAGCAGAACTGTACTTTTCCGAAGGTTTTTGATGTGCTTAATTCGAATCTGGCTTTTGAAGTGTAGTAATGGTATTTTCAAGTAGAATAACGATACCAAAAAAATTTCTTTTCAAGAATTGGCATGACGTCAAATGCATTAAAAAACTGGCTGGAATATTGACCTTGACGTGCTGGCATTGATTTGAATCCTGCTTTGTATTCAGCACGTCAAAACACCTTCGGGAAAGTATTGTGCTGTTCCTATTTACGATTTTTAATTAAATTTTGTCGGCCTGTGTGATTTATCTGCCCCTCCACAAATGCAAAGTTCTCGGACCGAAAATCCTGTATTGAATTTTTAAAAATATCACAATCGACTGAAAATTGTCCTCCAGACTCAACTCAAATACATATTTCATCAGCTTAGAAGCCCAAATAAGAAGAAATGTTGTTACTACAACCAAATCATATTCGAGGGGCGGCTGATAATGACGCGGCCTAAGGTAGTTAGAGATGACACATAATCTCGTTATTGATAACACTAATGGCTGTACTCATTATTATAATAAACAACATAAAAAAAGGAAGTATGCCGAAAGGTATTTTTACAGAGGTATCATCGGTTCTTGAGGACTCTACTCTGATTTATCATTTTTCTATTTCAAATTTTAAAATGGAGTTACGGTGATGGAGATTTTCGAACGACAGTGACATGAAAACGACCGTAGAAAACCGATTTGAATAGAAATCTAAAGAATATTTTTACAGTATAATAGAGGCATTGTATTCACGATTTGAAAAATGTATTCACATGAGGAGACTATATTGAAATATGAAAATATAAAACTATTCATTAAGTACTTTTGGTTGCGACATTATCAGCCAACCAACGTATTTACAAGATTGGTTAAACCCGAGTTAAATCTAAGGCAGTTGAATTAAATTAATAATTATTAATTATTTTTTTATTATTAAATTTTTTTTTTAATTTTATTTAGCAAAAAGCATTTTCAAGCTATTAATCCTCACATGCCGCAATTCGAAGCAGAAATCGCCAATTGAATTTTTGAAAAAAGGGAAATTTAGAAAAAAAGTATCCTACAGATTCATATTTACCGCCAAATTTGTAAAAAAAAAAAGAACGTGATTTTTATTATTTGGAATTTAATATGAAGATTTTTATATAATATTTATTTCATACGGCTTTAGAAACTAAGGTAATGATAATTCATCGCTTTTATGAAATTAAAACAAATTTCAGTCCATATATAAAAATTAATTAAGGTTGCAATAAAAATATTAATTATTAAAAATCCATGGAGATTACATTAAAAAAAGTCATTTTATCTTCTACCAAATAGCAAATTCATATTTAGGGTACACTTATAGTCACTACTGTCGACGCAAATTTATCATACATATTTTTTAACATTCGAATCGGCGTAACTATTTATTTAACGATTCCTTCTAAGCCGCTAACAATGTTACTTTGAAAAACAATACAAACCGGATTTTTATGAAACAAATTCTAGGTACATGTGTGCATACATATATACATATGTATTTTATTTATAGATACACGATATTGAAATAGTAAGCTCAACTTTCAAGGTAATGTCTTTATTCATGCAAACTTTACTACATACATACAAACTTTCATACGTACATTTGTATGCAAACATGTTTAAATATAATATTATACTCATATGTAAAGTTTTTTTTTTTACTTTATATATGTATGTATGCACATACAACATATAATTTCAATATTATCTACTCTTTTTTTTAAAAATCATTCCAGACATTTTAGTTGCATACATGCAACATTGTTGTTAAATTTTAATGGAGAAACAAATTAACCGCATAACATACGTACTAACATATTTACGGCATACATTCATACATATTTACGGCATACATTAAAACCACCTATTGTATGTAAAGCATTCGATTTAAACTGACATTGGTATTTATTTACTTATTAATGTGCGAAAATGCCACATGGCCACATAATAATATGTTTTTATACTATATATGTATGTATGTATGTAGGTAAATACATAAGTACCACGATATGAGAACATAACTGAAATAGTTGTAACACTTTTGTTCAGTTTTGGAAACTGGTTTTCCACTAACGACTGTTGACTGTTGACTGTTGACGTTTGTTGTACGCTCATTTTGGCAAAATCGTTTTACCAATTAAATTTCATACTTATTTAGTAGTGTGAACTTGATACGTTTTTTGGATAATTTTTTAGAACGGTTATTTATTTTATTAACGCACCGTTTTATTATGCATGTTTACGGCTAAATTATTCTCTAGTAATTGTTGCTAATAGGCAATTAGGCAAATGCAAAGAAAATGGAAATTGTTCAATATGAGTTGCAGCAAATGGTTGATTTGACTTAAATTTGTAAATTGATTTTATATAATTATATTCGTACAAGATAGGGAGTATTTAAAATAAAATTAAATATAAAATGATATGAAAAAATTTTAATAAAGTTATAAAATGAGATTAAAAAAAAAACATATTAAATAATAGATATATCAAAAACTGAATGAACTACAAAAAAAAAAAACTAATTAAAAAATAATAAGCAAAACATATACAACAAAATAAAATGAAATAAAATAAGGTAAAGTAAGATAAAATAGGGAAAAAATAAACTAAAATGAAATTAGAAAGAAAAATAAGTTAAAATAAAAGAAAACAAAATAAAATAAAATATATTAAAATAATTTAATATAAACTACAATTAAATAGAAGAGTATCAAATGCAAAAATCAAATAAAATATCTATTAACACATATAATTATATTAGATTAAATAACAAAACAAAATAATGTAAAATTAAATACAAAATAAAAAAAATAAATAAAAATAGCTAAAAAAGCTATTAAAAATATAAAAATAACATATAATAAAATAAAATTTAAATATAAAGTAAAAAAAATTAAAGAAAATTAAAAAAATTTAATTAAAAACAATAAAATAAAATTAAACAAAATTAAATAAAAGAAAACAATATAAAATAAAATAAGCTAAAATGAAATAAAATAAAAAAAAAATTCACAACAAATATAAAATAAAATAAAATAATACAATATTAAATAGAGCAGAATAAAATAAAATAATGTAATAAATAACATAAATTATAATAAATAAAATTAAACAGAACCGATTCAATTGGAAAAATCAAAGAAAATATTTATTTAAACATAAAATTGTGTTAAATAAAATTATAAGATAAAATGATAAATAAAATAAATTAAAAAATAAAAATAAAATAAATAAAAATAAAACTAATAATAAATATTATGAAATACATATTAAAATATAAAAGTAAAACTAAAAAAATTTATAAAATAAAATGATATAAAATAAAAAAACATAAAAAGAAATAAAATAAAAATAATAATAATTATATATATATAAATATATACAAAAAAGGAAAACAAAATAACATAAAATAAAATAAAACAAAAAAATTTAAATTAAACAAAATATCATAAAATAAAAGAAAATGAAATACAATAAAATTAATTTAAATATATCAGAATAAAAGGCAAAAATAAAAAAATAGCCATTAAAATATAAAATTAAATTCAATTAAATTACAAAATAAAAAGAAAATAAATAAATTAGAATAATAATATGAAATATATTAAATTGAATTAAAGTGAAAAGTAAAACAAACAAAAAAGAGTTAGATTAAATTGAAAGAAATTGAATAAATGTTAATGAAATTATATTAACAAAAATGAAATATAATAAAAAACATATATAAAATAAAATAAAACAAATGAAATAATAAAAATAAAATTAAAAATTAAATAATTCATAATAATAAAATAAACTAAAAAAATTTAAACAAAATATAATAAAACAAAATAAATCAATTAAAATAAATAAAAAAAATCAAACAAAAAAATGAAATAAATATAAATGAAATAGAATAAAATAAAATCAAAATAAATATAATACGGAGCAAATACACTTGGGATAAGATGGAAACCGACTAACCGACTCCTTCTCATACACTTACGACCTGTCGCACACAAAGTGGCAAATACTGTCGACTGTAACGAAATTTCAGATTATCATCACCATGAACATCTCTCGTAGAGTAATTTTTTGCCCAGATAAACGCATGTAGCTACACGGGTATTCGGACGTTTCCGTTTACATAAGATTACTACGATAACTTAAAACAATAAGTTCGCCGCACCTCGAACTCGATGGTGCAGTTCTACTATCAAAATTATTTGCTCATAACCAAACACAGCTGAACATGCTACCCCCCCTACACCGTAACGACCCGAATTTTTGTACAGCCAAGGATTGTGACTTCTGAAATATTCTCCGTAAACCAATTTGGGGTATATTTGTGCTGTTACTACACTCACTGGTCGGACTCCAAATTAAAGAAAATATCTATTTTTTGTTTTTGTAATTAATTTCTAATTTTTTTTTTTTCTTTGTAAAATTTAAAACTTTTAAATGCAACTTCCTAAATATGTCTACTTTCACTTATCTTTATAATAAATAAATAAATAAAATAAAATACTTATGTATAACTGTGCAAAATAATGTACTCACATTATATAGAAATAACTGTCGCTATCTTTCCGCTTCACTTCGTGATGTGTCTTATCATTCACACCACTCATATGCGGAGTCATATTGCTTTGTAGTCCACTGCTCACACCGGTCGGCATGATGCGTTCTCTAAATAAATTTAAACCATTGTTTCGTTGATTATTTGTTAAAGTGCCATCTTTATTTTGTCCGGCAAAAAATGTTCTGACGTTCTCCATTCTAAATTGTCAATTAATTTGCTTGTTAGCCTAGCAAAATTATTATTGTACTCAACGCAATAGCAAAGTGTGAATGTATCTGTATGTGTGAGCGGTTTTCAGCTTTGAGACGAGCCCCTGCGAACGAAAATGAAAAAAAAAATCAATTAAATGTTATAAATGAAATTGTTATTGTTATTTAATTTCAGATGTTTTGTTATTTGATTTATTTTTAACATATTTGCTTAAAAGTTCTGAGATTATTTTGGGTGTTGATTAAATTGGAAAAAAAAATAATAATAATAATTACATATATGTATACGTATATATGGCAGGCTAAAAAAGGGGGAAAAAAGAATCGTCAAACTCCACGCAAATTATATGATAACACAACACCAGTGGCGTTTTTTAGGTAATAAAATTTTGCTTTATTTATTTATTTATTATCGACAGCGGTTCTTTAAAAGTATTAATGTGTGTGTATAAATACATAAGGAAACGAAAACAAAATAAACTTTAAATATTTAAAAATATTTTTTCGTTATTTTAAAATAAATGTTTGAATATTTTCTTCGCGATAAAATTGTAATATATACCTATGTATTTACAAACATACATACATCGTATGTTATATGTGGGCGAAAATAAGATTTAGCAATTTTTTAATATTTATTTTTTATTTTTTTATGACATCGAAATTTTCAACACTTTCATTATTATTTAATCTTAATAGTTAATAGAAAAATTTGTATTAATTAATTAATTAAATTTTCCATTTCAATGGGTGAACATTTTTATGTCAAGTAAATTTTTTATGCAGTCCGATTGTAGGCATCTTTAAATATATTTCGATACAGTGGATGTAATTGATCTGAATATTATGAAACATATAGTATGTATATTGACAAGTGAATACTGGAGGAAGTCTTGTCTAGTGGACAATAAACCTGTCAAAGTTACTGTTAAAGGGTTACATAGGTCTTGAAGGCCAAAAAAAGGTTATTTTCACTATTTTTTTTTTTTTTTTTTTAAAATACTAAATAAAGTATACAATTTATTTTTTTTTACATATAAAAGTACAATATGTGGACAGCATTCGATAAAAATTTAAATGAAAAATGGTATAAGTTAAGGCGTTGGCAGTGTCGTGAAGTAGACCGTCCACAAGAAAGTGCTTTCGCGGTAGTCATGATAACTATTTCGATTTTTATCTGAAATCAAAAATTCAAATTTTTACTAAAGGAGATGAATTTTCCTTGTTCCTGAACGAAGAAAAATTAAAGAAATTAAAAATTTAATCTTTTTAGCGTTTTTTACAAAAAACGACATTTTTTGCATAATATTAGGCCACATATTGGCTTGTAAAATGAGTTGAAATCAAAGATAAAATAAATCCTTCGTTTAGGGACTACAAAAATATGTTTAAAATATTTGTGATTACCGATTTCGATAAAGTGGTTTTAAGAAAAATGCGTTTAAAGTTTCACCATCGGGCAAGCCATGACAAAGATGCCGGGTTATAAAACTCTTTAATTTCTACAGTTTCGTCTCGATCGTCTTGAAACTTGGGGAAAATATTACTGACACTTTGTACTTTTATACAGAAAATTATCAAAAAAAAAAAAAAAAATGAATTTTTGAAGTTTCAAGATCTATTGTATGTAACCCCTTAAGGTTGGCTGATATTGTTTTCCATTATTAATGGCATATCTCCCGATTTATTTTGATAAGAACATCCGATCATTTATTTAAAAAAAATTTTATTTTTCTTTGAATTTCAAAAAAACACCTCTTATTGGAAAACCCTGTATATGTACATTTTTCGGATATTATGGCATATATTGTACATAACTTTCATAAAACAAAAATTAGAAAAAAAAGTTCTTAAACTTTTTGCAAAAATAAAAAATAGAACTAATTCGTTTATTTTTTAGTTCTTTGAACTTTTTGTCTGTTATCTACATGCCAGCAGGCTCTCAAGGTGCTTGCAGACTGATACATATGTACGTACATATAATATATGTATATGTATATAGATCAATACATTTATTTATTGTCGGAAATTCCTGCCTTCAACTTCTTTTGCTGGTTATCAAACGATTATATTCCACCACAATTTTACATTGTATATAAATATATACTACATATACACTCGTACATACGGTTATGTTGTGGATATTTATTACTTTGTTTTCAATTTTTTTTTTTAATTTTTTTTCTTTGCAATTCTTTCCGCTCATTTAATTGATAAGATCAATATTTAACCAACTGAAAGCTAGAGCACATACAAGTATACATATTTACCACATACACATATGTACGAGTCTATTCACTGCAACGCAAAACTTCATTTTGAAATTTACAAATATTTTCTTTACGATGAGTTTGTTCTTTATTTCATATAATATTTTGCGAATTTTGTATTTTTACTTTAAAAATCAGCAATGACGTCGCCAAGTGGGAGTTGGTATTCGTATTGATAAGGCACAGTCACCGGCCTTTTGTATATCAATTCGCGTGGCATAATAAAAAAGTCAAGCAAACAACATACATACGTGTATGTATGTATATGCACAGTGCAAATGTAACTGTTTATCAGCTAGGTATTGATTAGCTATTGCGCACTTAATTCTGATAAATTATTGAAGAGAATTTGTGAAAAAAAAGTTTATAAATTTTTTATATTTTCTCAGTTTTGAAAATTCGGAAAAATCTTTTTAAATATTTAAGAAAACATCTTTTTAAAATATTATTTTCCATTTGTTGGGTTAAACATTATTTTGTTGTTGCTTTTTTAATGAGAATATCATCTCGAAAAATTGTTTTCCAAATGCTAACTGCGAAAAGCTCGGTCACTGACTGATGTGTTGATATTTTTACATAAAAAAAAACTAATTGAATATTGTTGAAAGCATAAATATTTAATAATGTACGAAATTTTCCAACAAAAAAAAAAACGCATTTGACTCTGCTCCTTTAAGTTTTTTACAAGCGTACTGTGCGGAAATAAAAAAAAATAAATGAATAAAAAAAATAAATAAATAATAAAAAATAAATAAATAAAAAAAATAAATAAAATACAATATATTTATAAGATACAACAGCTGAGCACCAGCTCGAATATATTTTCATTTTACTTTTCACTTAAAATTATAAAATTTGTTTCTATAAAAAAAATCCTGATTCTTCTTCACAACAAACTCAACGAAATTTTTTCAGTAAAAATTTAAATAATAAATTTTCATTTATTAATTTATTTTGATTAGATTTTTTTCCGAGTTTGTGTTCGAAAATGTCAGAAAAATCAAATCGGTATAATAAAAAACAAATAAATAAAAATTCGAAAGTTTTTAAATTTTCATTAAAAATGCAAATAAAATTCAATTAAACAAATTAAATGTAATTAAATTGTATTTTCGTTACATTTTCAATGAATACTAAATATTAAACTAAAATTAACATTATTAACAGGTATGAAAACAGTGTCGGAACAATATATATTATATACATATATGTAATTGGTGCATTGTAATCGAGCCGAGCTTTTCCTCCAATTTGTGGTTTTGCGTCTTGATGTTTTTCCAACAAATGGAGGGATCGCCTCTGAATGGCTGAAGTTTTTTTATGAGAAGCTTTGATTATTATGTCAGAACTGCACTCGAACGGATTGACATTAACTACCGAGGGGCGACCGCAATCAGAAAATTGGTAAAATGTAGTCAATGACGATAAATAATGAAAACCTTCGTGAAACGAGTACTGCACAAAAAATATGAGTTAAAACATTTCCCCATTAACCGAATTTCCAACTGCACTGCTCAATCGTAACAAAATCGATCCACATCTGAAGCAGATGGTGCTTGGTGTTGAAAAATGGATCACTTAAAGAAACGTCAAAGGAAACCGGTTATGGTCTGAGAGCTGTGAACCGGCACAAACGTTCTCAAAATCATAAAGGTTTTGTGGTGTTTTTTATGGGAGTTCTTAAGCCTACAATTAATAATGCGGACCTCGAATCAAGTGTTTACCATCTATTCTTGTCTATGTCGAATGATTTGGCTGTTGAAAAGTTGCCCTCAATGGCTATAACTTCAAGATGGCAAGAAGTAATCGAGCAAAACGGTGCACAAATGCACACAAATCGAATAATTCTAACAATGATAAATAACGACTTAAATTTGTTGATAAAAATTAACAGTTGTTGGATTCTTACTCTGCTACTTTTCGGGTTCCAAGTAAAACACGCTTGCTTCTATGCAATTCAGTATAATAAGTATAAGTGTTTATTCAACAGTTAGAAATGAAGGACTGACTGAATGTTTTCGGTTTCAGTTATTTCAAAAACATTACAGGGTTGCATAATATGTTAGTTGCTATTAGGGTTACATTTCAACAACAGTGATTACAGTTCATTATTTATAAATAACAACTATTTCTTAATTAAATGCACTAAAAATATTTGGAAAATTTAATGATAAAGTTCATTAGTAAATAAATCTTTTTTACAAAATTCATAGATGGAATAGTTATGTATGTAATAAAATGTTTAATTTAGCTCTTTTCCTCTGTCTAATGGACGATTTTTTAAATAAAAAAATTATATTCGGAAATTTTTCCATCATTTTTTAATTTCAATATACTTGTAAGTAGGTAAGAGTTTCCGTTGCACATTATACGGAAAACAAACGTCAATTTTTCAAACTGTAAATTTCATAAATTGTATTATTTTTCACTACCAGCAGAGAAGAATTTCGTGCTGTCAACTAAAATGTCTATTTTGTATTTAAAACTTTGGTTCGCAGACATATTTGTACATATGTATGTAAATAACTGATTTACAGGCCTATTCTGTCGAGGTAACAAAATTCAGTAAATTCAGTAAATTTTGTTACTATTTCGCATTCTGACGCACTGTCACCCTGTAAATTTTGTTACCAGCGAAATAGAAGGTAACAAAAAATCTACTGTTTGATTGAGGAAAAAATAAAAAACCAAAATGGGTAGGCATATTTTAGGCCTGGAATTCATCGAAGATGAAGATAAAAGTGGAAAAAGGCGCTTGCTAAGAAGTTTGCGAGAAACAAATGACCCTTTTAATTTGGAAGATAGCGTTTTCATTCAGGAATTTTTATCGTTTAAGCATATTTTCCAAAATTAGGTTCAAATATTATGATTTAATAAACACAAAAATAAAACTTATTTATTTCGAAGTGCACCGTCTTCCATTTCGATCTGAATATTCTTCTTTTTTGTCTTACCAAATGGAAAATGTAATTTCACAAGGACGAAAAAAGCAGTGCTGCCAAGTTTTTTCAAACATTGTAGCCAGTTCGCCAGAATACCAAATTCAAAAAAAAAGTAACAAAATTTACTTTACCGGTACCAATGAGAATAGGCCTGTTAAAATAAAAAAATCAACGCTTATTTTTCAGTAATTTTATTTCTAAATAATTCTATGAATCCCTTCAAGGATAATTAATAGAGTTTTTGAAACCAAATTAATCTGTCAAAATATTATTTGTTATTTTACACCGTCTCATTAAAATACTAAACTCAGATGTATTGTAAAAACCACTAAAGAGAATTGATGCTCTTTGAAAGGGTGTAAATATATGTATGTACATATGTACATCAGGCATTTAGCAAAACTGATATTTTCATGAAAGATAAAGTACAGTCCATTTGCTTATTATGTGTGTAGAGTGTTTTTAAACATGCAGCGAACATATGTATGTCCTCTGTACATATATATATATAAATACATATGCAAAAATATCGACCTTTGTAATCACACACACACGGTGAACTAAAAAAAAAAACACTACTTCCTTTTTTAACACCAAAAACTATTTATTACAAACAAAAAAAAAATCGAATAAAAATATAAATGTTCTTCAAACAGCTGATTTCACTTCTAATAAATATGTATGTGCATATTATATCATTTTGAATTTAGTTAAAACACATTTAAAATGCATGAAGAATCATTTAATGGGTAATTGTTGGTAAATTAAAAAATTAATTAATTAAAAATATTTAAAACACACCATATGTACATAAATACATATATGTATGTAGTTATTCCTAAATTTGTCGATTCATTAAACTGTAGGCATTTTATTTATTTTTTTCATAATTCAAATCAGCACTTATAAGGAGCAAATAAATCATTATCAATACAATAAAATAATCACCTTTTCGTATATTTCGCTTATATGTATGTATGTATTTTTCTTTTTGTCTTCTCTACTTTTTAATATTTGATAAAGCCACTATATGTATATATATTCCATATATGTATTGTATATTTTTCTTGAAATTATTTTTAGCGCGTGCCGTCGCTTTTATTTGTATATTTATTATGTATATGAATTTTGTTTTTGTTTAATTTGCCGTTAAGTACGCTTGCTGACTCGTTCACAGCCGCAACTGAACGCGCGCTGGCAATGTCTGGCCTTTTTATAGTTGCCGTGTTTCACTTTGGGCCGCTTCCAAGCGCCTTCAGCACTCAATTCCAGTATGACGCTCATTTTTTTGCTGTTGTTGTTTTTGTTTAGTTTTAAAATTTCAACTAAATGTTTGTAATTTGTTTTCGATTTTGTTTTGATCGAGTTTTTATGCGAGTTTTTTTCTTTGTGCTTTTATTATGCGCTCTTTGTCTGCAGCGCAAACTAATTAAATTGCGGCTTGTATTGATGTACGTATGTACATATATATACATATGTATGCATGTGTAGTATGTAAAGGTTGTTAAATATTAACTAGATGTGCGAGCAATATGCAGAAAAACTCGATATTCCTGCAGGGAGGCGCTCGTTTATTTGAATCGTTTTCAGCTGTATCCGTTGGGCAGTTATTTAAATTTGTCTATATTTGTATATATTTATATACATATGTTTAATTTATGTTTAAATGTTGTTTTAAACATTGGAATATGTGCCAGAAAATATCCATGAAAAGGCAGGTACATACTTTTCATATGTAGTGTATGACTTTCGTACTGAAGAAGGCGCGTCTTCTCCAAGATATTCTATTTGTTCTATAAATATGTATGTATGTACCTATTAACGCACATATGTATGTAGGTAGGCCAAAATTACTCGGAGATCCCACAAGAGCAAGAGTACAAAGGTTAATTTAAGCCAAATAAACACCCTCGTATGTCTACAGAAATTTAAAAATAAAGGGTGCTTTTTAATATTATCATTATTTCTTTTTAAAGAAATAAAGGGTAAGAGTTTGGTTTTTGTTCGTCGGTTGGCGAATGTCATTCTGCATTGGATTTCCAAGCTGAGGGTTGTGCCCGCCGAGGCTGGCTCGAATAGATTCCCGAGGAAAGGTCCAGTTTTCATCAGAATTGTATGGAATCTTCTTCTTTTCTATTGGCGTTGGCACAGCTTACGCGATTATAGCCGAATCACATATCGCTGTCTAGCGCCAGTTGGAGATACCAAGTGAAGCCAGGCCACTTTCCACCTCATCCTTTCAACGGAGTGAAGGTCTTCAGGAAGCAGAGGAAGTTCCTCCAGCGGGTACTGCATTTAATACTTTCAAAGCTGGAGTGCTTTCATCCATTCGGACAACATGACCTAACCAGCGTAGCCGCTGTCTCCACATTCGCTGAACTATATATGTCAATATCGTTGTATAGCTCGTACAGCTCATGGTTCCATCGTCTGCGGTATTCGCCGTTGCCAATGCGCAAAGAACCATACATCGTTCGCAAAACTTTTCTCTCGGAGACTCCCAGAGTCGACTCATCAGATGTTGACGTCGTCTACGCTTCTGCGTCAAAAATATTAAATTGTTTCGTTGCATGGCATGTGGTGCCGCCTTGATGGAACCAATTGTACTAAACAACAATATCCTCAAATTCAAGCACGAAGAAGTCATTAATCATAGGTCTACAGTGACCCGCTTTTGACAGTAACATTATGGCGAGCGTCATTTTTGAAAAATTATGCACTATGGCTCCCTCAATCAAGCAAAACGGGAACGAAAAGTAATTTTCCAACTTTATAATGACCCCAATTCCACAATCTATGCAAAAGCGAATATATATTTGATATAATTACTACCTAACTGCTCGTATATACAAATAATATTAAGAAAATATTTATTTTATTTCGTATAAAAAAAATAATAATTCCCACAAAGAAATATTTATTTGAATTTGATAAAAAATTATAATGAGTGAACCCACCTATTGTGAGCGTAATTATGATCTTTTGGAACTCGTTCTCATTTGCTCATTTTCCAATGGATTCTCTTTGCTGACACAATTGTTGTCGCTCTCTGTTTATATTCAGGCATAATTGCGCTGATAGTTTATGCCTCCAAGCGATTTTGAAAATGATTTTTTTTTGTATACAAACGTTTACATGTAAACGTATATAAATATAGACATACAGAAATGCATACATATAATATACACAAATACATTTTTTTTTTGCCTTTTAATACCCGAAGTGGACTTTGACCACGGACTTGTAGTAAGTGTAAAAAAAAACACTTGAAAAACTACTTGACGAGACGGAACAAACATAATTTAATAGACATACATATGAGTACATATTTAAATATGTACATAATATTATTTACATGTAATGAAGGTATATATGTATACATACATACTTGACATACTTGTTTAGACTTACACGCTTATATGGTACTTACAAATTCGAAAATGTGTAATTGACTGTGAGTTCAGGTACAATGTGAGTATGAAAACTTATATTTTTATGACAAAAAATAAATATAAAATATTAATATGTACATATGTATGTATGATATATATAGTAAAAAGTAATCCATTATTTTTTAAATGTATTTAAGACTTTATTTATCATAATTAGAGATATTCGATTGATGTCATTTTGCCTCTCTCATTGAAACCCTTGTCCCATTGCCTGAAAATCGGGACAACTGATTTTCAGAGTCTTCTCTTAAGCCCAATTCTCCACCAGCCTAATTACTTGCCATAGATAAGAACAGATGGTAACCACTTAGTGCAGATGGATTGGTACAGGATGGATGGCGTAAGAAACTCTCAAACAAGCACTCGGAACTTCTGACGAGTCGCCATCTATGTGATTTTTTTGGCATTCTCTAGATGAAACAAATTATTGTACCTTCTTGTTGGCCAAAGCTTGGCGATTGTTTCTTTCGAATGGTTCAAGTGCTGCTACTAATAGTCCGAATTAAGATTTTGGCCGGAGAGGAGCAGCTCATAATGGATGCTTCGTTGCCAGCCCCACGAAGCACACATATAAAAACCAATTCTGGTTTGTGGACCGTTTATGCCGGCTCACTGTAAGTGATACAATTTTCTTCCCCAGTCACAATCCGTTGCAGAAATACATATTTACTGTGTATCCAACCTTTTCCAAGTGGTTCCAAACAAATTTTTGTGCAAAGTTTAGCTCCTGGGCAATCAAAACAGTGCTCGCATGGCAGTCACATTCGACGATTATGTATGTTATTGACATTCTCGACAGTTGGCCTCCCATACCGTGAAGCATCATTTACATCAAAATTATCATAACGAGATCGAGGACACCTAAACTGTGCATGAGTGACTGTTACTGTATCAGGACCATAAACACAATCAAAAAAGACATAAAAGCTGAAAAAAAAATTTGCGTAAGTTTTTTGTTTTAATTTGCTTTTAATAGACTTTTGGAAATGAAATTAAAATTACCGATTTCCAAAAAAAAAACCAAAATTGGTAGTCATGGCTGGTATAGTGTGGGACTTCTTTTTTGTGTAGAAGGGTGCAGAGGTGACGCCCATGTACCGCGCTTTTGGGTATTTTATTCCACTTCTGAATTTGTTGTAATTCTGTTCAGCTCTAAGTTTTTAAATGCAGAAATCTTATATAATTTAAATAAAAATAATAATATTAATAATAATAATTTTAAGCAAATGTTTTTATTCCTAACCAAGGTTAAGCGCTGGTTGTAATTTTACATTCTATGCTTCTTCATTTAATTAAAATAAAAATAATAAGGGTAATATTTTCTGTAGTCGTTCCTTTGCAGATTTTTGTTTGAAAAACAAAAGTCTTTACTCTGGCCACTCCAGTATAATTTCCCGAAACTTATCGACGATATAATTTTTTGAACAACCACTGTTTTTTAATTAAATTTATTAAATAACTTCTCCCAAAGCTGAACCTGTATATGTACATATCTTTTGAGAATATTGTAGAAAAAAAAAAATAATGCTTAATAATCTTAATGACGTTCTTCGTTGAATTGAGTTACACGTAAAACCGCTAATCTTCAGTAATTGCGTTGGTAATAGACTCAATATATGAGTTTCAAAGCGGCACCATGCCAACAACCCGGTAATTGAACGCAGAGGGACGTGTTCAAAAATCATTTTTTTTTTCAAGTGAAGTTCATTCATATAACATGTGTAATAACCATGCGCTTATTGATGTTTGTATGTACATACATGCATACATATGTAAGTGCAAGTAGCTGATATGAGGGGTCAAAAGGGTATCAATGTATTCAGAAAGCGCAGTAGCATTCAATTTTTTTATGACATTGCAAATACTAAGACTTAAATCAGTATGTGTGCATTTTTAACGTGAAAATAGTTTGCTCATATACTGAAGTATTTACATTTCTCTTGAATATTATTAGCTTACTTTTTAACGGGAATAATTAAACTTCAACGGGTTTCTCTTTGACACTCCTTCTAGAGCTTGAAGTGAATTTATTTCAGTATTTTATTCACTATGACATTACGAGAATTGGCTGATTTACACTGAAGCCTCACACGAATATCTAATTATAGCGCTCAATTCATGGTCATTCCAAACTTTCAACTTGCCGTTGTTGTACATATTTTACGGTCTATGCACAGATAAGCATCACAAATTTTCATAAATCCTCATTAAACCTAAAATCTATTACGTTTTCATTTGGCGATTTTAGTACATTTTAGTCTGCAAATGTTCAATATAGAAATTTTTCTCTTGCGATTAACATGTATTGGCCGCGCGTTTTACGTATAACCAACGGTTTCTTGACTATCAGTGGATTCCAGCTGTACGGGTTTGAGTCGAAAACGCAACGTTACCACCTCTCAATATGGGGTCTTGTAAATTTTTTAGTTCTCACACTTTTCTATATCATCTGTATCAATCAACATTTCGCGCATTCGCCGTTACTGAAAATCTTCCATGACGTTTCACCATTCTTTTGGCAAATGATACGCGTGCAATTGATGTTGGGTCTCAAAATTTATGTTTTTCGAATTTTTACTATGCCAAGAGTGGGTCGCGCATGCAATGCCATTTCGTCCAATCCCACACATATCTTTGCGCGTAAATTTCGCCTGGAGGAAGCATTCGCATATTGCTTGGTTTTCTCAACATTCCTCATTTCACTTTGTTTCGTTGTGTATATTGCTTATGAATTGGAATTTAAACTGCCTCCTTGGGATAACATTTTTATAAGTTTCGCACTATTTATTCCACATTTTGCATTAGCTGGTGCTCTTAAGTTGTACACGTTGAATTGTTGGTTAATGCAGGAAGAGCTGAGGGGTTTGAAAACGGAATTGCAGGATATGCTAATTGAGCCACCAGCGGCTGAGGTAAAAAATGTCGATGACAGTATTGAAATGACAGTGAGTGCTAGTGCAACGAACCATTGTGTAAATATGCCTGCAAATGATATACAGAAGCAGTTGGATATGTATTTCGGCAGATTTGAAAAAATTGTTGAAAATCTTCGGGCTGTGAGCACTGCACTGGAAAAAGAGTTGTGTCTGCTTTTCATAATGAACAGTTCCTGTCTGCTGGCCGGCGTTTATACGCTCGTATATTTCCGTTCGAGTTGGTACTTATTTTTCTCTCCCTCCTGGAGGCGTATTTTCTATGCTGCCAATCTAGCAATATATGTGCTTATCTTCTGGGACTATTTATGTCTTTGTATTAGCATACATTTTTACAGCAGAGTGGTTCGTAAATAACTGATGGATTATTTTTATTTAGTGAATATAATATTTTGTTGCATAATTGGCATTTTTAGAAACTTCAAATACTTGCGATTGTTGAAGCAGCTTTAAAATTAAAGACAGACTTAAAAAAAGATGCCCGCTCTGTGTTAAAGAACATACGTCGTATTATATCAACAGAGCTGAGTTTTGGTGTATTCAATGTGGTGGAAATAAACACTTTGAACTTGATAATGGTAGATCATGAGCCTTAAATTTGCTCTAAAATATATATTGTAGTTTTATATCTTTAAATATATTTCTTTTCCTTTAAGGTACACATTATATTGGGCACAATAATATCAATTGTCGTGGTCTATCACTATTTGAACGATCAAATTGCTTCTATACTTACACGCCTGGATACCGTCGATAGTGATGATTAGTCCATTTGAATTATTTTTATAAGTATTATTAAACCAATAAACAATATTTTGTAACACAAACTAACACAAATAAAAATATTTAATAATTCACATTTCCGCTTCCCTTAGCAAATAATTTACTTCCTTTCTTTCTGAAACAAAAAATTAACAGTTGCCATCTTAACTGAACAATTGAATGGATTTGTGGCAGCATTACTTTTTTTGAAACTTGGCAGCACTTATCTAATGTCAAATGTCATAAACAACGAGACGCCAAATTCTGACCAAGCCAATTTTTTAACACCGGCAATTTTGTCCAAATAATTTGTGCATAAATAGTGAAAATAATAAATACACAAACTCAAAATGAGTGCAGGCAACATGCTATATGGTGGTGATGAAATTGGAGCACTTGTTTTCGATCCAGGACATCACTCACTACGAGTGGGTTATGCGCAGGAGGACACACCGAAGGCTGAGATTCCTTCTGTGGTTGGGGTTGCACCATCAGCACCAGATACAAATATGGATATAGAAACAAAAACGGATAGCAACATAACACAGAATAGTAATTTTAATTATTTCAGGTATATGAGTGAAATATGATAATTATTTATTAAATAACTTCACAGATGCTGATGCACGTAAATACTATGTAGACACGACGTATGTTAATGTACCACGTACTCAAATGGAAATACAGACATACATGAAAGATGGTATGATCGACAATTGGGATTTATTTGAAAAAGTTATTGACTACACCTATGCCAAAGTCATACAATCGGAACCCGAATATCATCCAGTGTTGTTTTCCGAAGCTTCATGGAATGTACGAAATAATCGTGAAAAATTGACAGAGCTTATGTTTGAAAAATACAATGTACCCGCTTTCTATTTGGTTAAGAATGCAGTGTTGGCCGCATTTTCTAGTGGTCGTGCTACCGCTTTGGTTGTAGACAGTGGTGCTACACACACCTCTGCAGTGCCCGTGCACGAAGGATATGTGCTTTCACAGGCAGTGGTGAAATCACCACTTGGCGGTGACTACTTATCAATGCAGTGTCGCCAACATCTCGAAAAACAAGGTATTGATTTATCTCCCGCATACAAAATAGCATCAAAAGATGTGGTTAAAGAACGTGACGCTGCGCGTTTTACATTACGAAAATTGCCAGAGAATTTGACACAGTCTTGGCAAAATTATATGCTTAAGTCACTGTTACAAGATTTCCAAATGAACATCTTGCAAGTATTGGAGAATCCATATGATGAACGTGTGGCGGCACAAATACCTAGCGTACATTATGAGTTTCCCAATGGCTACCATCAGGAATTCGGCTCAGAACGTTTCAAGTTGGCTGAAAGTTTATTTGATCACGCCATGCTCGGTGCTGGGCAATTAGCATCCACGAGTGTGGGTATGTGCGATGCAGATGTACGTTTATCACTCTTCGGCTCTGTTGTGGTAACTGGAGGCAATACACTATTGCAAGGTTTCCCAGAACGCCTTAATCGTGACTTACAACTGAGAGCTCCATCTAATACACGTTTGAAGATGATTTCCGCCAATGGCAGTGTAGAACGACGTTTTGGCGCTTGGATCGGTGGTTCAATATTAGCTAGTATTGGTACATTCCAGCAAATGTGGATATCGTCTCAGGAATATGAAGAATCTGGCAAAGGTCAGGTGGAACGTAAATGTCCTTAGAGAGTGGTTGAATTTATGTGACCAAGCAATTTACTATTTTATATTCAAAGATAAATGCTTATAATTACGAAAGTAACAATATAAATACTAAAAAATGTGAAAATTATTTCGTTTTTGATGTTAATTTATTTGTTTCTCTTAGAATTGTTTTAGCGACGTATTTTACCTTTTGAAAGTAGCTCTCCGAAAAGTTTAAATACTGAAAATTTATTATATATGAAATGTTATGCAAATGAAGGAGCCTTTTCAAGCTTCATTTATTATATTTTAAATGACCTTTCCTCATAGGGTCTACTTGAGTGCCTGATTATTATTTTTCACCAAATCCTTCGCTTTTTGTATTTCTTCCGTCCAGTTCTGTTGAGAAATCATTGCAACCGCCTCCTTCAGTATATTCTTCACCTTACTAACGTTGCTAGCGAAAGTTTCTACAACTTGTTGAACACTTACACTTTCTTCTCCATCTCGCCAGCTATCATAGTCAGTTACAATCGCTACGCCAGCGTATAAAAGGCCCGCCTCTTTGGCCAGTACAACCTCGGGTACTATAGTCATATTAATTAAATCACCACCCCACATTCCAAACATTTTACTTTCGGCCTTTGTGGAGTAGCGTGGACCCTCAATGCAAACAACTGTGCCACTGTCATGAGCATTATAATTTAGTTTTCTAGTTGCAGCTATAAGAACTTGGCGCGTAGCTTCATTGAAAGCAGGTGACATGGGTAAATGGCATACACCAGGTGGACTCCCAGGATTGCCATCCGTAAAAGTTTCAATGCGTTGTGTTGTGCGATCGATGACATCATCAGGTATTACTAAATCTCCACGTTTGAACTGTTCCCGCAGTGAACCACAAGCTGAACTTACCAGCACATGCGTACAGCCGGCTTCCTTCAGTGCCCAAATATTAGCCCGGTAGGGAACATTGGAGGGTATAATGCCATGCTCACGACCGTGACGCGCTAGCAGTACACATTGTACACCATTCATCGTGCCTTCGATAAGAACATCTGCGGGAGCGCCATAAGGTGTAGTAACAGTCTTTTCTTTTCTACCCTCTAATATATCCGGATCATCTAAGCCGCTGCCACCAATAATACCGATCTAAAAAATAAAAATAAATATTTTCCTCTTGTCTTTCATCATGTGTCACTATACTGCAGTCGACTTACTTTGACCATACAACCGCAGCAGCCTGCTTCAACCGATTCTTTTTTAACTACAGGATGAATATCTCTTCCACAACAGGTTGCCATGATGGTTGATGGATTGGAGTTTGACTTGTTTAAATAATTAAAATGTTGTTCTTTTCTATTTGCATAACAGATTTCCAAAACAGTTAAAAATATTTTTAAATGGCTGTTTTGAATTTACCAATATTTTTTCCAAAAAAAAAGTAAGAACTTGATAGAAATATTTTATGGAGACGTTTTTAAAACCAGAACATACGATTTCGAAACAGCAGGTGTAATAGCAAGAGGTATGAAAAGCAATACACATTACGCTATAAATTTATGAAATAAATGGCTGTTGGCTTTATTGTAAAACATTTTTAACATAATATACCAAACACATCCACCGAAAATAAACGAACAAATCTATGTGGAAATATTAAATGCATTTTATAAAGAACTTGTGTTTATAATGTTGGTCAAAAAAATCCAAATATTACTCTGTATCCGACTCTTGAAGTGTTTGCGTTTTTCTTTGCCTCTTTGGGTCTGGGATCATATCATAAGCTATGGAAATTGAATATATTTCAGGAATCATTGGCATTTTCTTTTTTGATTTATCCAATGTTTTACCAGAAACTAATGGTTTTTTGTTTTGTATAATTTCGCTGGTGATTTCATTGCACAATAGTAAAAAGCGTCACATTGCACCGGACATTGTATTCTTGCATACACAATCCTGAAGAGATGTTTAGCATTAGATTAGAATATGAAATCATCACTATATAATAGATTTATTACCTTGGCATTTAAAATGTCTTCGCTCCAGTCTTGTTTAGCTATATTCTGCACGGCCTTCACAAGTATATTCTTTACTTTGATAACATTCTCGCCGAAGGTTTTAAGCACATCTTGAACATTAACACCCTCGCAACCCATACGCCAACAATCGTAATCAGTTGCAATAGCAACGGAGCCATATAAAAGGCCAGCCTCTTTAGCCAACACCACTTCAGGGCATGTGGTCATGTTAATAAGATCACCACCCCATTGTCGGAACATGTTACTCTCAGAACGTGAGGAAAACCGTGGGCCTTCAATAGTGACAATAGTTGCCTTTTCATGTACATTATAGTCTAGTTCTTTGGCAGTGGCAATAAGCACTTCCCTTACACGTTCACTGAACGAAGGATACATGCTCAAATGGCAGACACCTTGTGGACTCTGTCCACCACCATCGAAAAATGTTTGTGAACGCTTTGTTGTGCGATCAATAAAATCATTTGGCATGACTAAGTCACCTGGACGAATTTCTTCACGTAGTGAACCACAAGCAGTTGATACTATCAAATGTGTACAACCCACTTGACGCATGGCCCATATATTGGCACGATAATTTACATTACTTGGCATTATGTTGTGCTTACGTCCGTGTCGTGCCAATAAAACACATTTTACGCCAGCAATTTCACCCTCTATCAAAGCATCGGAAGGAGCGCCATAGGGTGTGTCGATTTCGGTTGCCTTACGATTTTCCAAGATATCTGGATCATCGAGACCACTTCCACCAATTATACCAATCTATAAAAAAAAGTATTTTTTTTTTGTAAATATATTGAAAGCAGTTTTTTTTTTACTATTATTTTATTACCACTTACCTTAACAGGTAAAGGATCTAAATTTATGTCCTTACACTTGATGTGAATCATTGTTCAGCTATTTAAATTTTAAGTAGTGTTTTACACAGTGGCTAAAACGTGAAAGTGTCGATTAAAAAAACGTTTCCAAGAATACATATGATTTTCACTTACATCTGTCTACTATCAGATTGAGGCGGTTAAGGTCAGGAGCAATATCAGATAAGAAAACAGATAGGAATTAAATAATTGTTGTTATGAAGGGTTGCATAAAAAATTGCGACAATTTTTGGCATCCAGAGGCGTCGAGAGGAAACAAAGAGGGGTTCACCTATCAAAAGACATCCTTTTATATTCCTAATGCATAAGTTGGAAAAAAGGACGTTGATAACGATATAATGTCAAATGTGGTCAGAGCCCGGGCTTATATAATATAAATGATATGAAATTTTAGAATAAATACGATGTAAATCGATTGACACCACTGCACAGTGAAGATACTAAATTAATCGATCTTATTCTACTTTCTCTTATCGAAGAAATAATCATTTGCAGTTCGTTATGTAGATAATCATTATTATGGCTAACAGGAAAAATTAGATTTAAAATAAACAGATGGACCGTAATTTTAAATTAGTGCACCTTAGCTGCTCCAAACTTTTTGGAGCAGTTTTTCTATAATCCCCACTATATTTTCCGCCTTTTGAAATATTGTTCATGTATATGTGAACACTTAAACTTTGATTTCTCAAATGTGGGTTCAAATAGAAATCTCGTAAAAATAATTGGGTTCAAGACAGTAAAATTTGCTTATCATTTCTCCAATAGATTACAGAATATACCTATTTAAAATTTTCTAGTAAGTATGTATATATGTATACGTACATTTATATAACAAATACACACTAACAATCCCTTAAAGAACTGGGCAGAGGTTTAATCCAATTACTGCCCAGATATGGATGTGACAAAGAAAAGAATAATACTTGCAAGAACAGAAGAAGCACAGTTTATGTTCTTTAATTACAACTTTAAATTTATTTATATTCAAAATATATAATTTCATTTTAATTTTTTTATTCACGCATCTACAACTGTAGCTTCAATTGCCTTTGGACATTTAAATATCCTAACGAAATGATCCTCGCCACAACTCGCAAGCAGGAAGTAATCAGAACTATCGTTGTTACTATCACGCAACGGCTGAAACTGTAAGCGTTTTACTGTAGAGTCATGTGCCTTTTCAAAAAGTAGCTTGCTGTAAGTAGGAAAAACAAGGGTTGTGATGATTTTGTAAAAATAAATAACACTTCACTCACCTCTCTACAACTGCTCTTAAAGTCTTTCCTTCCTCTTCTAACTGCTGCAGTAAAATATCACCATTCGAAAATCCTATCGCAATCTGATAAACCCCCGTCGTTACAAGTTCAGGTGCAAAACCAAGTGCAGTAACAGGATTTGTGTACGTTTCCTTAAGACACAAGCCCCAATCTGCCTTTTCTGCATCTCCTTGTGTCCACACTCCAAGTACAGCATCCCGACCGCCAGTCAGAAAGTATTTGCTATCATGTGACCAATCACATGCCCAAATAATACGACTATGCACGGACACCTTAGGGGCTGATTTTTGCTTGATTCGGTAAAACGGTTGATTGTTAGCGACTGTTAATTCCTCAACACGTTCGAAAAGCGTCCAAGTGCGATCGCGTGAGACTGAAAGTAGCAGACGACTGTCGGGTGAGAAGCGCAACTGTGTTACGGTTAGCTTATGCCCGGCTAGTTTTTGAATTTGCTTCCATGTAGTGGTATCCCTGCAAAACACGTTTGTGTTACAAATATTTTTCCCAATTAAATTATAATAAAATACCATAAGATTATTTGAGCATGTTCCTCGTTTGTAGCGCGACATGCGGAAGCCAAGACTTTACCATCTGGAGTAGCGGCCAATGAGTAAATTTCAAAACCATGACCGTAAAGTTTTTGCATTTCGGGCCACAATGTGTTTTGCATTAGCGTCTCTTCTTGTGGTGGAGCGTCCAGCGTAACAGGCACAAAATAATTTTCGGGATATTCATCCTTAATGTGCTTTTGCTGTGGTACTGTGTCTATGTCAGCACTGTACACTGCCTTGTTCGACAGACCCAAGGAAGGTACAGAAGCACCTTTAGGTAAATCTATAGAAAAAAATATATTTTAATTAAATTTTTATTTAAATATATAATTCTATACATTTACTTTTTAATACAGCATCGCCCTCTACGTCCGCTTGCGCACCGGTAATGCGCCTAAAATTCTCAATGAAATTCGTTGACGCTTGGAAAGTGCGCACAATCTTTTCTTCCGCTCCACTAGCAAATTTGTAGCGCGAAAGTATGGCAAGCGTTTGCATATCATAGCCGTGTACTTGCGGCCGTGCCAATTCATGCCAAGTTACTGCAGCATCTTCTTCATCACTGGAACGACGCCATGGCGCATGTATACGGGAAGTCTGATCGGCGGAAACTGTCAATAAATATTCCCCATTTGGCGCCCATGCTAAGTCGCGTACTTCATCAAAATGACCACCCACTATGATACCAGGTGTCCACAGGTTATCACTTTCCGGTGATTGGTGCCATATATGAAAACCACCCTGATAACTATGGCCAAATATTGATTTGCCGTTGCTAGAGAATTTTCCTCCGTAAAATCCTAAAGAATTTCCACCGACTTCGCCTACACGTACTTGCTCCATCCACACTCCGTCTTCACTCGGTGCCCAGATGATAATTGATTTATCGATCGAAACGGATAGCAAACGCAGATCTGAAAATAATAATAGGAATTAAATGGTGAGGAATTAATAATTTTAATTAATTAATTACCGTTTTCTTTTGATCTGTGCCAGTTGACGCCATATACCCAGCCTTCGTGTCCATATAACACCGACTCCAAGCTAATCGCACACCAATTGTTTGCACACAAGTGTATAATTTTTTCTTCCACACGTATTTCCTCTGAATCCTCTTCATTAATATTACAAATATCCACACTATTTTCACGTGCTTGCTCCGCAGATCGTTTTGAAATGCGCCATAAACGTATAAAATTATCTTGCGCTGAACTTGCCAGCAGAATATCATCACCATCTTTAACAGCATCTAGTGCACGTATCCAATCTTCATGGCCCGTCATTTGGTGTACCATACGAAATGGATCTAGATCGGTGTTATTCGATTCGAATGCTTTATCTTGTGCCCAAATAAGTACATTACCCTTATCATTACCAAAAGCTAACAGCAACTGGTCGCTTTTAGGTAATTGGAATAGGCAGAGTCCAAGAGTGTAACTATTTTGATTTATTATCTTTTGAGCAAGTGTTATTTTTATGGTATCAAAGATCCACAGGGTAACGGTTTGCTCTGCAGCTGCAGCAATTAACCACTTGTTGTTTTCCAATTGGCGGCTACTAAGATCTGTAACTGGGCCATCATGTTTGAGTGGCTCAAAATTAACATTTTTTGCCTGCTTATCGAACTTCCACACAATTGCATTACTATCATCAGCGCCGGAAATGAAGTAGGTTTCGGGTTGAAATGTTGAAGAACGCAACCAGTGTACGGTGTTGACACGACCTTCATGGCCGGTGTAGGTAGCAATTTGCCTTGCTGAGTTGTTATACTTTGCGAAAATAATAATATGATATATTACCGTTTTCTATATTGCTAATAAATATTCTATTTACATTTGGATCCAATACAGCAACTGAATTATGTGCGCCGAAAACTATCAAACCATTATCACCCCAATCAGCACAATGTGGAGTAGGATTGCAGCCTGCTGATGCGTATATCGTATAATTGGAATTATTTTTATGTATTTGTATATTACTCATTTTAAAGATCTTTTATAATGTGGAATAAAACAATTAGTATAAACTGCGGAAAATATGATGGCACGTTTTGGTTTTCCACGTTAATTGTAACTTTTTTATCGCGACTTTTGTTTTGATTCAAGTTCAGTGCTGGAAAATTATAAGTTCACGTGAAATTAAGATTATAGAATCGATCGTTATTAAATGTTTACATGTGTTGTAGGAATCTAAACTAGAAAAATCAACACATTACCTTAAAGAGCTCTTCAAATCAAAAATACAGTTCAACATTTTAAGACCTAATGCCGAAAACACATAAGCTGAAAATATTTCAATCACAGTTGGAAGGCTCAAAACATAAGCATTTTGTAATTTTGAAAGCTTCATACACTTTTTGCCTATGAATTATGAGAATAGTAATTCAAACGAATGGTTGAAGCCATTTACTCGCAGAATCGATTTTCAGCCTTTACTCCTGCTAGTAATATTGTTTGATGTTTGTATCGAAAATAGGGACCAGATTTTAGGTTGAGGATAGTGCTAACGAATTGCCGATGCTCTATACCATAAGCGTTAAAATTAAAATAATTAGGACTTCAATGATTTTTCAGTACTTCTAGAATCTATTTCCGTATTTCGATAATATCTCCTCGATATGAATCATTGAAAATCACAAGGCAGGATGTCGCAAGCTCTCTTGGTGAACAACGTGAGCTCGTATTGGTAATTTTAATACTGAATCATGTAATTAGTAAAGGAACTGGAAACATGGTTTAAGAAATCCACCCTTAGATCCGATTACTCAAAGCATATTTTCGGCAATGCAACCCTTCATCCTTTCAGTTTTCATCTAAAAGTATGGCAACACGCGACGAAGGGACGCTGCATATGAAATTTTTAACGGAACGCTTGTCAAGCCAAGTCATTGAAATAAAGTAGCAAGCGTTGAATTTTCCTTTTTTATATTTTGTGTCTACGAAGTGTAATAAAAACAATAATTTAAGAAAAATTTAGCTGCAAAAGATTAATTTGAAATGGGGCGAAAACGGAAAATACCAATTGCAGATGAAGAAAAAGAAAATACAGTTGCGAAAGGTCGAAAGCGGGGTGGTGGTGGCGTTGTTGCTGCTGCAAGCAATTCGATGATGTTGCACGGCCCCATGTACACAATAATGTCTAATGTGCAATTAAATGAAACTAGCCACAAAAAATATATAAAAGAATTGAAGCAACTGTACGCAAAGGTTTGTGTGATAGTGTTTATTTTGTGTGTTTTTAGTGTTTGTATTGTTTTTTTTGCCAATTTTTACTATCCAACTCGTAGATGGATCATGATGCATTCATGTTTACATTCATTAAAATGATAAAAACTGCAATGTTGGCAGATGAGGCTAATGAATATGCAGAAACAACACTACTTTTTTGCTCCAAATTTGTTAGCTCCTATGATGGCGACGATACACATCCACTACTTATTGATATGTGCAAGTGGTTGCTTACGGTAAGTCTTATCAATAGGTAATGTCTTTTCATAGAAATGTAATACGTAGTTCTTGTTTATAGACCATCTCACGCAATCCCCATATACGCTATCGTATTTGCCAATTTGTTAATATGATTTTAAAAGCACTGGGACAGGAAGCAGCGTTGGACGATGCGATTTGTGATCGCATATTGGAATATATGCTGCATCGTTTACATGACACTTCGCCAAATGTGCGGGTACAGGCAATATTAGCTATGCAACGTTTACAAGTACCCGATAATCCCGACGATCCAGTTTTGCGTGCTTATCAATTTCATCTCTGCTCAGATCCATCATCTCGAGTGCGTCAGGCGGTAATTACATGTATGGGGCGTAATTATCATACTATACCCTACATATTGGATCGTTTGTGGGATATTGATGAAAAAGTACGACGGCACACATACTTACATATGAGTAGTTATCCAGTGCGGTCATATAAAGTGTCGCAGAGACTGACGTTATTACAGCAAGGTCTAAACGATCGTTCAGAAGCTGTACGCAAAGTGGTGGTAACAATAATGTTGCAGCAATGGATTGAGTCGTATCAAAAAGATCTTATTGCGCTAATATCGGCGTTAAAGTTAGATTCGAGTGAAGCTGAAATCGATCGATTTCGTAAAGTAGCTAAACAAACATTAAAAGAGATATTTAAGTAAGTATTTTCGTATACACAACTATGGTTTTGTAATTGTTTGTTTACTTCTTCTCTAGGCGACAGAACAAAGAAGATTTACTCGCTTGCGTACCTTTAGAGGAAGATGGTGAAATGCATCGTTGTGTGCCATACGAAAAGTTATCAATGGAAATTGCACTGTATTGGCAGTGTTTGACGGAGTTTTTACAAGCGGAAATGGCAGAAGAATTCGATGTAATAGTGCCAGAGTTAAGCACATTTTGTACATATGTGGAAAAGTATGTAGTATTGTATACATCATTTAGTATAACATGAATTTTCTGTATTTATAAATTCACTTGCAGATATTGTCATTCGCAAAAACCCGATATGGATAAATTTGAGTTAATGGAATTCCAATACAAGTTACTCTCACTTATGGAAATTCTATATACATTCGATTTGGGTGATGAAATCGGACGCGGAAATTTGCAAAAGCTGCTTGCATATTTGTTGAAAACATTCCGTCTTGAAGAGAAGGTGATTGAGGTCATAGTACGTTGCGCCGAAAATTTGATAACTGATCAAAATACACGCATACAGGTAATTACTATTGAATTTTACAAATAAGAATAAGTGGATTTAATACGAATATTTGTTTACAGTTCATAGTGGATATCGTACAAGATATTTGCGGCTTAAATAGCAAACAAAATGATTTGTTGCATGATCGTACCTTGATATCCGAATTATTGGCAAGTTCTTCCAATGCTGATTTGAATTTGAAATTGTCCTCGCTTAAAGTGAAAATTCTGGATTTGGAGGAGCAAGAAATGAATTTTGTACAACGTAAAGATTATATGCGTGCACAGCAAATAACGGAAGAGAAGATTGCTACCACAGAGGAGTATACAAATTTATTGCAGCCACTATTGGAGAAACATCCGAATGCTGAACAGGTATTTATTAAATAAATGTATACAATAACATATGCTATAATTAATTACTTTTAGTTGAAGCACCCGTTGCAGTTGCGCAAAACAATCAAGCCTGAGTGTATATTGAAGAGCTTACAAATTGTGTTCCACACAGTCGTATCGCCTAAAACTCGTTCACTAAATCCCAACATATTGAATCTATATAATGTGAGCTTTTCGCTTTTATACCAACATAGAGTTTAACTATTGTATAATATAAATTATTTTCCATTAGGATTTCATTTGTCGTCATCTTGCATCAAATCAAATCGCAATACGTGATTGGGCTTTGAAATGTGGTACTGCCTGCAGTATGCTTTATGAGGCGTTGGCAAAAGATGTTTTCGAAGAATTATATGCACAATTTTTCAAAAATCACAATATACGTATTTGGGAGACATCAATTACGTGCATCTTTGAACTGCTGGACAGGTTAGTGTTTGATTTTGAAAGCCTCTTTACACACTCTTTCACATTTTTCTCATGCACATATATAGATATGGTTTGGATAATTTTGCTAAACAAGAAGAGGCGAATAAGACGAAGAAGAGCGGCCGCCAGCTTTACAACACTTTGGAGTTTTTAGATAGCGAAGATGACTCGAATGTGTTGAACGCCGGTCAAGGCGTCGATGTTATCTATATGATGTCACATTTTCTAGACACTTGCGACGATACTTGTATAGTTAGTGCAATTATTGTTGGATTCTGTCGGCTAATTTTGCGTGGTTACATCAAGTCGAGCGATATTATCGAAAAATTGCTTTTGCGCTATTTCAATCCAACTACAGGTGATTTTGAAATACACAAAATGTTTAACAGTTTGCATTTAATTTTTAATTTCTATTTTTTTAGATTCAAATATTAACCAAATATTGGGTGTATTTCTTGAAAATCTAATACAACGTAAAAAACATGGTCTGCTACAGCCGTGTCTTTTGCCTATGATAACGACGGTGTTGAGTGCACCTTACGAGAATCCACTGCATGATATACGTCCCGAGACCATAGCACGTTTCATTATTGACTCCACACGCCAAGAATCATCGCTAATAACCGATGGTTGGATTCATAATAAAATCGCACACACTTTTCTACAAGAAATGCTAAATAATTTGTCTAATAAAGAATTGTGCAAACTTTTAGCTAAAGAGCTCATTACACTCGAATTGAGTGTCGTACAAAATGAGCAATTGAAGCTGGAAATGAAAGAGAGCGCCGACAAGCTGATAAAGGTGACTTTAAGTCAAACGCCTTAAACTCTGTCCACAAAAATTGTTATAATTGAATGAAATATATATTTTTAGGCCGATTTCGATCCGAAGACCGTCAAACACATTATAGATTTCAAAGATGTCGTCGATGGCAACTATAATCCGGCACGTAAACCAGCAGCAAACGATTCAGAAGGTGAAGAGGTGTGTACTGCGAATATTACAATTCAAATATGCGTTGTTACTAATAATTTACATCCCTTTATGCCACAGGATAGCAACGATGAGGCGGAGAATGATGGCAAAGATGACGATGGCAGCGCAACAGCGACTACTGCGCGCAGTAAAACATCAGTTAGTGAATCTTTAAATGAACCAACTTCTCAACCACCGCCATCACAGCCGCCACTTGACGTCATTGCTAACACTTCAGAAGTTGCAGCATCGAGTGAGGAGCTGGCTAGTGAGGAAACGCCTGTTGTCGCAACCGAAGCGCCTACCGCTGCTCCAGCAGCCACCGCAAGTGCTGATGATGGCATAATAACAAAAGATATATCACCATCGGCACGTGTGCCCACTACGTATGGTCGTGAGAATAGTGTGGGACACCGTTATCTGCGCAAATCTTTGAATTCCACACGTGGACAATCCGATACTGAGGCGGTAGATGGGCCGCCACGTTCCCCGAAGATACGTATTGAGGCGCGCATAGATTCTGATAAGAAGACGGAACAACCAGCACATGAAGAGCGTCAAGTGCGCAATACGCGTGTGAGGCGTAATTTGCGTTACATCGAAAAGAATGCAAATACCGAAGAACAGCAGGTAGAGACGGAAAATGATGTCGTGAATGCACGTAATAAACGACGCGCGAATATGCCAACCACTAGCGCTGATACGGGCGCTGATTTGGGTACACATAAAATTCAAAATTCAAATACAAATCGCAACGCAAGTCCGCAAAAGCTGGCAATTTCGACGACGGAGAGTGATTCAAGTCCAGCAAAGCGTAAGACGAGGGAGACAGCTAAAGAAACGACGCGAGAGGAACGCTACGCAGAGAAAACGAAAAAGAAGAACAGAGTAGAGGCCAAGGAGCAGTCGGAAACACCTTCCAACTCATCGAAAGCACAGTCCAGCGAACCGACAGAAGAGTTAGATAAGGAGGCTAATAAAGAAACGACAAAAGAGCAGTTGAACACGCAGTCACATGAGCAAATAAGAGACAATAACAAAGCGAAAGGTACACCAGCAAAGCCGACTAGACTGGCGTCTCGCGCGTTAACCAGAAATGCTACAAAAACTATTAATGTGGATGAGGTAAATAATACCGTTATCGAAGTAATAAAAATTTGGTATAATAAATACTTTCATCCGCAGCTCAACACATCCGATATCATACCACCTTCACCAACTGCTGTGATGTCTCCACGCACAATAGTGCGGCGTCAACGTCGAGCGGGTGGTGGTGATATATCCGTTGCAAAACTAACGGATACACAACGACGCTCCACACGAAGCCAATCCGCACAATCGGCACCGAATCAAGTGAGTACCAGACGGAGGGGTTTACAACTGTAGATAGACCAGACGTAGTACTAACCCAGTCCCCACACCAATTCTACTGTCCGCTTCCATCAGTGCCAACCAACGCCACCGCCCATTTATCGCACAGATCCTCTGTGCATTTTTGCATGTTCATTTGCACTTAGTTGTAGTTTTACATATATATTTCCTTGACATTTGTAAAAATCTTTGTCTATATTAAATATATACATGTATTTACGTACGAAAAATTAACCTATAATTTGCAACTGAATTGGATGGGCGTGAGTGTTTCGGCACGGTGATGGGAGTGGGCACAGGTCGATCGGAATGTGTAGTGGAGTTGGCGTGAGTGGTTAAACTTATTTTATTGTTATTTTTATAGTCTGATTAAATTTAAATTACACACTTTAGTCGTTCTAAAAAGTCTTGCTTTCCAAACAATTTCGCCTCATCTCGCGCTGGCACTCATCTCGCCTTTATCGAGACGCGCTGGTACTCATCTCGCCTTTATCGAGACGCGCTGGCACTTCGCTTGTTTTATCCAAGTCGCGCATTTACTTAACTCGCCAAGACGGGTTCAAACTAACATTGTACTTCACTTTAATATCTCGTTTTATAAACGCACTGAATTATGTTTTCGTCAATTTACTTTTATTACTTATTTTAATCCAAAATACTTTTAGGACACATCAGATGAAAGCGGGGATGAGCAGAGTGCCGCAGCCACAGCTACAAAAACTATAACAAGTTCAACGCCAGCGCGCGGCCGTCTAAAGCGAACGTCTCAGGAAGCAGTGGTAAACTCATCACGGAGAGAGTCACCCCATTCAAAACGTATTCGTGCTGAAACCCCACCCAATCGACAACTACCCTTACGAACTGTGCGCAGTAGTAGCGTTTCCACGCCACAGCCCAGTACGCCGAATGAAGAGAATCTGCCTAAAGGTACTAGCACAGAGCCAAAACGTCGTGGGCGACCCCGTTCAATTCCGGGACAACAGAGTAATGCTGAAAAAAGCCCTGCATCCAAGGACGCGACTGCAGCACGCACGCGTTCGGCTACACGCGCGGTTTCTTTAACACGCACGCGATCTGCCGCACAGTCCATCGTCCCCACCGATACGGAGGGACGTGGTAAAGCTGAAACTACAACAAAAGAAAGACGGTCGACCGTCCGATTGGGCGCGGAAGCACGAGCCCAGTCGGCGCCGGATTCCAATAATAAAAAGCTTACGAATGTCAATTCAACCACTGAGGCAGAAAAACAGAACGTCACATCGGAAACGTATCTGCGCTCCGCACCACGATCACTATCTGCCGCGAAACGCGTCTCCACTGCAGTGGTGGATGGAAACGATAGCACGCAACGTGAAAAGCTACGCAAGAGTAATGAAAGAGATCTGAGATCGAGAGAATCACCACAACTAACCGGCACTATGACACGTCGGTGCTTATCGATCAGTGGCGATGGTGGAGTGGATGCCGCTGACGTCACGGAAACCAGGCGTTCCCTACGCGAAAAAACAATTCAAAGCAACGAACAAACGAAGGAAGCCAACACAACCAGTAAAAGCAAAGTACAAACGCGGCCGAGTAAAATACCAGTGCGCGCTTCAAATCACAAATTGGCAACTGTAATGAAAACACGAAATGGCGCACGTCAATTATCCTCTTCTCTGGTACTGGCGCCGAAGGCGGTTGATTCCATAATTAGCAGTGCCAGCGGCAGTTCGAGCAATGATGAAGCGACGAAATCGTTTGGCGCGGGTTTGTTGCGCAAGCGTACACTTGCTACGAAAATGACGCGCATCAACTTGACGCAACACAGCAAAGGTATCCCATTGCCGCTGGAGTTGGCGCGACCGACACGCCTGCGACCGCCCACAACCAATGCGCCCACACATAATTTGAGAGCGAAGAAACGTTGAATGTTACGAGTGAATGAGGCAGTGTGGAGGGATCTATAAAATTATACATGGCTACACATACCTACCTACATGCATATATACATACAAACATATATTCTTCTATTCTACACCGTATACAATTGTTGTTGAATATTGCGTAGTTTTAAAAAAAATTGCATGCACTGCAAATATTTTTAGCATTAATACATATACATACATATATTTCGTTTTATTTTTCTATACTATATAATTCAACATATACATACAAATATAAATCATTCGGATGCAATTTTTTGCTTTAAAATTTTAACTGCATGGAATTTCGTATACAAAAAATTGACATATATATTTATATACATACTTACATACATACATGTTAGGGAAGCCCAAACAAAAATTTGAAGTCAAATGTCGTTTATTATGTATCATATCACTTTAGCTACTAAACAAAAAAAAAACAAGAAATTAAGTAATAAATAAAAAAATTTTGCAAGCGTCAAAAAAACAAGGAAAAGTCTTTCTGAAAGTGTAACGAAGTGTTTGGGGCATTTGTTGGGCCAATGAAATCTCTATAAGCATTCGATGTAAGAAAGATTTACGTCGGTGACCTCCACTCCATTGAAAAACCAGGTAGAGAAGGATCTGGCTGTACTTGAAGAGGCAGTGAATGGCGCAATGGTGTTAACACGGCTATAATTGCGTAAGCGGTGTCTACGACAGTAAAGAAGAAGAAGATGTACATAGGTTTCAAAGCTTGATTTGCAAGAGCTTACCTCTGTCCGGTTGATCTTCACAAAATATATAAACTCACGTTGAACTCACTCAAATCATCCTTGTATTCAGTTTTTATTCATAACTTCAAAGCTTAAGGTGCAGCAGTTAGTTCCAGAAAGACTATAGTGTTAAAATAATAAATACATTCTTAGTCTAAGCGCAGGAATCCTAAATGTAGGCAACATTTTTCGCCAACGAAAAATCCATGAAATTTTATAACTAAAACGTTGCCTGCAAATAGGCGCATAACTAAAATACTCGTAATTTAACGGCATGTAAGTTAGGTTTAGTTGAACTGGTTGACTCATTGGGTCTTACACAGACGATAATACAACCACAATGTTGCCAGACACACTTCATATGACAAAGCTGCGTTGCTACACTCTTTATTGTGTCTCTAGTGTGAATAACATTTTTGTAGTCGTTTTGGCTCTTTGCTCATTGCCTATTAAAGATCTTGTATCCTTTCAGCGCAAGATAAGTACAGCGTCTGCCTGCCGAATGCTGGACACTCACAGCCTGCGTGCTCCACTGTATTCATACATACATTACTTAAATTTTCTGTAGATTTTGTGCCCAGTCAGACCTACATATAATAAAAGCATGTGACGCCAAAAGACAACATCGCAGTAACAACCAGCAGCCTGGAATACGATCTCCTTACCGATCGTAAAAACTTTGTAAGTTTCGCGTCATAAGTCTTGTACACAGTTTTCGGAAGTCTGCGGTTCTTGGCTCGTTCCCGGCGTCTATTAGCTTGATGAAGTCAGATTACTTCCCTCATCTTCTTCACAACTTCCCACCAAAATCTTCCACGGATAACGTCACTGTAGCTGTGGTGAAGCTCAAAACTGACAAAGACCCACGATTGACACAAGAAAGGATCGCTTATGAATTGGGCTGTATCGCGAACGCAACTGTAGTAAAGTCGTTACTGGTGACGAATCTTTGTTCAATAAGTACGATCCAGAAACCAAAAAGCGTCTACTATATGGAGCCCAACAGGAGCAAACCCACCCGTAAAATTTAGCAACAAAAATCAGCAGCAAAAGAAATGATGTTTATCTACTGCACCCGATCTAAAATCGTAGCTGCTTTTCCATTGGAAAAGAGACAGGCGGTAACTGCAAAATGGTACACCGAAGAGTGCTTACCAAAAGTTTTCAAAAAATTGTTGGAAAACAAGAAGAAAGAGGATTTGCGACGCTACCCTTTACATCATGACAACGCGCCACCGCACACTGCTGAAATAACGAGTAATTTTATTGTGAACTCTGGGCGCGATTTCACCTCGTAGATGTGTATTCTTTTCCTTTGAAAGATAGTGCAGTAACTCTGCAGCCTTTTTTATAGCAAATATTTCGGCTTGGAAGATACTGCAATACTTTGATAGCTTATACGACTCCCTTATCTCTAGTTTTGCGAACTAAACTGAACCCACACTCTTTTCTTCATTTTAGAACCATCTGTAAGGAAACGAAGAGCTTTGTCTGCCTATTTCAGAACTTTGCTCCAGCTATTCGACTCTTTTGTAGATGACTACAGCTTGCCGAAAGTGACTGTTGCTGCTGATCATTGAAAGTCTGAATCCCCTTTCCATCCTATCAAGATATGTTATCTTGTCCATAGCCTTTCACCATTTCAAAGCTCCGTAGAAATGTATTGGCTTAACAATTGCAACGAAGATTTAGTGAGAGATGGCGTGGAATGGACCCCAACTACAGCTCAACATCCTTTTACATGGATATAGGGCCGCTGAAGCCTTCTTCACTCGCTGCTATCTATTAAGTCTTCACCTTATCCAATACAATTCTCGGATACTTAGTATTATTATTTTTCAGTTACAAATTGGACCCTCTTAGCTTTGGCTTTACTCCAACTAGAAATTGGGTTTTCCTTGCGAATGGTACTATAGCTGTTTTATCAGTAGTACAGATCCAAAGATTACCGTCTACCTTACCTTCCTTGGGTAGGAATTCTTCCTGCCCGTCGCCATGAAACCGGGATGGCGCTTCCCTAATGCAAGCTTCGAATAGTTTGTTTAAGAACTCGTTTACCAGCTCTACCAGAGCTTCTGTCCTGCCAATTCCAAGTACAATATTTTTTATAAATGCTCGTACATATGTATATACATATATATTCTTTAGTAATTTGGTTATTTTTTATACTCGTAGATACAATTTTTTTTATAAAAAATGCTTAACGGAAATTCGAGCCGAAATATCTATTTATCTTATCAGCTCACAACTGTGTTTAATAAACGTCTGAACGTATAACTATATGTAGCTGCATTTGTACCAACATATATGTATGAGCAAAAATATTTTCTTACTTTAAAATCACTTACAAGTGATTACTAATCACTCGAGAACATTCGGGCGACTGATTAATTGTCAATTCTCACCCGACAGACATTGATGAAATTTCTTGTTTACCAAAACGAGATTTAATAGCAGCTATAACTTCGTGCCGTTTCTATATAAGACCACAACGCAGACATTGAGCGGCATAGTTTGTGAGTGAATTTGTCCGATTGTACACACGGTGACAACATGAAGTTCGCAACTCTCCTTGCACTACTTTTTTTGGCGCTCGTAGCCAACGTGACGTGCTATGACTTAAATTTGATTCCGTCAGTAGTTTCACCTAATACCAGACCGTCCGAATTTGGACCACCTCTATTTGTAGCGGCAGAGGAAGAACTTCTCCTGCAACCAAAAGAAGCAGAACCTCCAGCACCTATTGCACAGCCAGAGGATGTTAGCAAGCCGCAATCGGTATTTGATAATTCCAATATTCAATACACTAAAGGTGTAATCACTGGTGGTGGTGGTATGCCAAAGCCAAGATATCCATTGAGGCGGATTTGATGTGCCAATGTCCAAGCGAACGCGCAGTGCGAGAGCAAGAAATATATTTTACTTACTTTCAATTGTAAAAGAATTCAAATCGAATTGATTTATTAAATAAATATCCAATTTTCTTGCAAACTGGTGAAACTTTTAATTGTCGAGATGTGAATGTCAAAAATAAAATAATGAAATAAAAAAAATAAAATAAAATAAAATAAAATAAAATAAAATAAAATAAAATAAAAAAAATAAAATAAAATAACAAAAGAAAGTAAATATATATGATAACGTAAAATAATTTGAAGCGAAATAAACAGTAAAAAATATACAATAAACAACACAATATATTTAAAAGAGACATCAATTTTTTGGTCAACCAACTGTTATTGTAGTAAACAGTGAGAATTTAAGTAGCAAATACAATACAAAGCTTTAGATTGCGATTTTGACATAGTACAACAATAAAGTAAACTTTACGAAGTAGAGAGTACCGAAAAACAACATTTTTTGTGATAAAAGAGAATTCATTTAGAGTCAGAAAATTTTGCAAATGACAATTTATGGTGCCGTACACTAGTAGTATGCATATAATAAAACAGCAAATCGGTTCCTTCATTCTAATATTCCGTGATTTCAATACTTTTTTACTTCTTTAGTTTTTGATACTTTGATTTTTTATACCAAAAGTCACACATTACTCAACGTAATGCAAAGTAAGTGTCAAATGATTGGAAAACTTTACTTAAATAATGAACAAATAAACTCAAAAACTGTCATAGAATAAAGTTTGAAAGTTTAAATTTTTTTTCTCATATATTTCCCCGACTAATAATATAGATATTAAATAGAAAATTATAAATTGTTGTACCTTAAGCCTCTATATTAATATAAAAAATATCATAAACATATCGATATCGATATGGAGCATATAATAATACATTCTAAAGAACATTTTTTTTTCTTTTATTGATCTAAATATACTTTATAGATTAATTTGAAAATTGTATAAGAAAACATAATTTTCAGCTGGGTAAACCCAAAAGTGAATCATCTTAATCTCTCCGAACGTTTGGTGCTCTCTAATAGCTGGTAGTGAGGATACGTTTTTATTACTTCAAGAATCTCTTTTTTTTTGGTTACTCAAGCAGAGAATTTTTTTGCATCCAAAAATCACAGTTTCTACACTTTTGTAACTTTGTATGCAACTCGATTCAACTTTTATTGCCTGCAAGCAATTCGGAGTACTTTACAAACCTGCAGTTTGCAATCATTGTTTGTCACCGATTGCCTTTTCATGCACGAGTAGTACATGCATATGTTTGTTTGTATGCATGTGAGTGAAATTGCATGCAAATTGCCGCTCTTTGCAGGCGACGCAGAGTAGACAGTGCGTATACGTAATTTTATGTTAGAATTGACAAATCGTATGTACGAGTATGTACATATATATACGTATGTGTGTGTGCTTTTATGTAGGCGGAACTATTGCGATTCTTCAATTTCTATATAAGAATACAGACTGCATCTGTATACAACCGAGTATGTATAAGTACACATATGATTTATGTACATATGTATATATTTACGAGCTAACATTTTATAACTTGA